CCCCCCCTGTTTAATAATTATCATAAATTTAAATAGTTTACTCCACAAACCCTGCCATATTATACCATCTACATAGATATGTAGAATATCCAGGGGTTAAGTATCCAGGCCCCCCTCCCCCTACCATAAGAATAATATGAAAATATAAAAACATGAAATAAAAACAAAGGAGTTGAGTCTTTTCCACAATTAAATTTTCTAGCATTTTCTTAATAATATAAAATAGTGCAGTACAAAAACATTCAGCTTTACAACAGTCTAAAAAAATTCCGTTTTTATTCGATAAAAAAATTGTAACTAACTTACACATAACAGTTTTTATACAAAATTTATCTAACTAGAATGAAGATTTTTTAAATATAAATATTTCCGTTTAACTATAATATTATAATTTTTTTAATTTTTCAGGTTTTCATCTTTCCGGAGAAGTAATTCCTGGTCGATCCTCTCAAACCTGCTCCGACCCTGAAACTAGGTTTAAGGTTTCAGTTAGCTTTGACAGGTAAACATTGCAGATCAAATATTTTATTGTTTTGTTATTGTTAGTCCTACACCACTTGTTTATACTGGTATTCGTGTTGACATTTTTTTGTAGTTAAGAACTTGTTTTTAGGGGAAATTATTTTGTTTATATTTATTCGTTAAACTAAGAAAAATTATAACTTTTTGCTCGTTATTATTTCGTTCAGACATTTTTTTTTCTAGCCAAGAAACTTGGTAAAAGGAAAATAAATTAAATTTTTATTCTCAAACTAAGAAATAACTAAAACTTCGTTTTTTTATTCGTTCGGACATTATTTCTAGCCAAGAAACTTGTTTAAAGGAAAGATAAATGAAATTTTTTTATTTGTCAAACTTAAAAAAACTAAAACTTTATTCTCGTTATTCATACATTTGGACATTTTTTTGTGGTCAAGGTATCACTGTGATTTAATGGTCTCACGATCTAAAGCAAAAGTCGTTGAGAATGTTGCCAATTACTTCTAAAAATTGAAAGCTAAAAACAAGTGGTTTACAGTGCTAACATGTACATGTAAATGGGTTCAGAAAAGTATAACTGAGATAGAGCGGTAAAACCTAAGCTCAGGGGGTTGCGACACTTCAAAGTCAACCCTGTCTAAAAAATTAATGAGACTGTTTATAAGGAGGCTGAATCCCGGTACTTGTTGAAGTGAAAACCAAATCAATTTTTTTATTCGTGTTCCGACGTAGAAAAAACTTTATGCTATGATTTTTTGTTGAATATTTGCCTGGACCTTGTTATTCTATTGTTTATGGTTAAATGGATGTTAACCCTGTTTACTTGGGCTGTTTGTATTTACCTCTGCAATCCAATCTGATCTGGGATAAACAGGTGGGGCCTGAGGCGTAGTGGGAGGGGGTAACCCTAAAATATTTGTGACCTTGTAAACATGTCTCCAACCTGAACCTTACTCCGGGGTTCTACTTTCATCTGGACGTATCCCGCTGGTTTACATCCAACGAGGTTTAGAACCTAATGGATATTGGATATCAACGTTGAGCAGTGGTCTGTTTGAATATATTTTACAGCAGCATTTAGTGGATTTACGACGGAAATGAATTATATTAAAAATGTTAAAATCTACTGCAGGTTGAACCGTACTTTTATATAATACTTCTTTTTCCAGAGATTGTGAAACCAAGTTAATTAATGCTTCAAATTGTTAAATAGTTTATATTTTATCCTAATCTTCATCGAATTCATTAATGTTAATATTTATTTCTGAAAACTACTCTCTGTAGTATATGTTACAAATATATACCTAGAAAATAAACTTTACTGGAAATCCTCTGGAAATGTAGAAATTTCTTTTCGTTTTGTCTTCCCTCTTCATGTTCTCAAAAAACTTGTATTTTCGTTAATTTCTTTTATAACACTATTGGGATCTGGCGTGGTCTTAAAGCCAGGCAGATTAATAAGTTTTTCTCTGTATTAATCCACCAAAAAATTGGAATTACTTTAGGCTATAACGTAAAAAGATTTTAAAATAGCTAAATTCTTTGCGATAATGCTCCTACAACAGGGGAAATATTAGGTTTATTAAATATGTTTATTGTCTATCAAGGAAAGATAGGGAAGATATTCTTCTCTAAAAAGTTTTGAATTTTATTTTATTTCAGATGCAAGATAATCTCTGTGACCTGTAGCTGTAACTCTAGAGACATATTCTGGTGCCAGCATGTGGTTGCTCTTGCCGTATACCGGATACGGAACACGGAGAAGGTTCCGGTCCGGGTTCCGATCAGTGAAACCCTGCTCCAGATGAACCGGGAGCAATTACAGAAATTTGTTCAATATCTTATATCATCCCATCACACAGAGGTTTTGCCCACCGCCCAAAGACTCTCAGACGAAATTTTGCGTAAATCGTCGGCGATCAATCAGATTCCCGGCGCCCCCGATCCTACGGCGGGTCAGGACGCTGAGGAAGAGAACTCCTGGCATCTTGATGAGGTTCAGGTTCAGGATCAGGTTAAGGCGTACCTGGAGCAGGGAGGATATTACTCGGCGTCTAAACACCTCACACAGATGTTTGCCAAGGTGGGGCCATTTTTTTCAAACCATTTTATTTACTCTAAATTTACTCATTTTGGAGATTAAAAGTTAAAAAATTTGAGGTAAAGATTTAGTCATACTCCTTGTTTCTCGTTAAGATCATCATGCTTCTGATTTTTCGTTAAAAATATGATTTACAAATTCAAGTTCTAGTTTGAACCTTACTCAATGTATAATCTAAACCACAGGAAAGCTTTAGACGGTCTTTGGGTTCTTCTAACCGTACCCCCCCCCCCCCTCCCGCCATCATGAAATTTAATGTAAGCAACCTTACTCCATATCATAATATTAGCATATCAAAGTTGCAATCTTCCCAATCCTTAACTAAACTCTATCTCTGAGAACAACTTCTTCTATTTGGAAAGAAAAATAGGATTCAGGTTTCGTTGAACTGTTAAACAAACAATTTTTAAATATATTCGTGTGTGTTTGTGTGTGGATCAACTTGTAAACCTGACTGGCGAAAAAAATGAAAAAATCGATGGACCCGCATTTGAGTAAGTTTGCTCAGTGTTTATTACTGTAATGGAAGCATACGGTCTGATTATGCAGGGAGGGGGAGGGGAGATCAATATTTAGGAATTATTCATAGAATTTGCGCCAGAGTTAAGCAAACGAAGATCAAAGATATAGGGATACATGGATACAAGGATAGAAGGAACAAGGATACAAGGATACAAGGATACAAGGATACAGGGATACAAGGAATAAGGATACAAGGATACAAGGACACAGAGACACATGATTACAAGGATACAAGGATACATTGATAAAGGAAACAGGGATTTATGGATACAAGGATACATGGACACAGGGACACATGATTACTAGGATACAAGGAACAAAAAGGGATACATGGATACAGAGAAACAAGGATACATGGATACATGGATATAAGGATGGATGATGAAGATGTCAAGATACATTATGTATGGATAATATATATGATGCTTCGAAATGTACAATCATTGTTCATTAAAATCTAAAGTAAGGAATTGATTCTTTGCCACAAACATTGATTTATAATATATTTTTGCAACCTAATGTTGTAGACATTAGACATTTCAAGCTATGAATAAACTAATAAAATAACTCTGATAATAACTATTATAAAATTTACTAAGTTTGAAATATCGAAGGTTTGTACCATCAGGTTGCAAATATATATGGATTATAAAAATTCAGTTTGTGGCAAAGACTCAATTCCATTGAGATAAGAAAACCTCAGACTTAATTTCCAGAATCGTTGATCCTAGCATCAAGGGGTGTTTGAGTTTCTAGGTTAAATAATTAATTTGGTAAATTTAAGAAATTATGATTTCCTTACTAGTTTACTGCCTTCAAACAGAATATAGAAAGCAGATAAAAGAAAAATTAATTCAGTGATAATTTTTTTTCAAAATTGAAGAATATAAATGTGTTAATATTAAAAAAAAAAATTTAATTTAAAAGAAGCATTTGAGGGGTTTTAAAAATCTGAGATCTTGTTTACAAAAAAGCTCAGCTTTTTATTTAGAACTTCACTTCACTACAATAATACAATTTAAAATTTGCATTGTACACTGTACAGTGTACAGCTCAGATAATTATGTATGCTAAGTTGATTTTGTTTATTGTTGACTACCTAGAATGAAATAATATGAATCTGGGTGTGTTCAATGCAAAGAATGGAAGGAGAGGAATCTGATACAAAATACAATTCTTCAGAATACCTCCTCGTCCTTCCAATAACACATAATGGATTTAACGCTAACCAGGAGGATACATGGGGAGGGGATACAAGAAAATAGATACTTCGAGGGGATACAATCATATGGATACAGGCAGGAGATACAGAATATGGAGAGAAGAAGGAGGGGATACAGAATATGGAGAGAGGAAGGAGGGGATACAGAATATGGAGAGAGGAAGGAGGGGATACAATCATATGGATACAGGGAGGAGATACAGAATATGGATACAGGGAGGAGATACAGAATATGGAGAGAGGAAGGAGGGGATACAATCATATGGATACAGGGAGGGGATACAATAATATGGATACAGGGAGGAGATACAGAATATGGAGAGAGGAAGGGGATACAATAATATGGATACAGGGAGGAGATACAGAATATGGAGAGTGGAAGGGGAGGATACAATAATATGGATACAACGAAGTAGGTCCTAGGAAATATAAGGGAGATGTAAAGATTCAAATTTCCAAAAAAAAATAGAAGACAATTTGAATTTGATAGATATATAATATAGCGATTTAAGTTTCTTGTTTGTATGGGTTGGTTCTAGTTTATATGGGTTGGTTCTAGTTTATATGGGTTGGTTCTAGTTTATATGGGTTGGTTCTGGTTTATATGGGTTGGTTCTGGTTTGTTTTGACTGTTTCTGGTCTGTATGGGTTGGTCTGGTTTGTATAGGCTGGTTTTGGTTTATATGGTTTTTTTTCTAGTTTGTACGGGTTGATTCTGGTTTGCATTAGTTGGTTCTGGATTGTATGGATGGGTTCTAGTTTGTATGGATTGGTTCTAATTTGTATTGGATTGGTTGGTTCTGGTGTATATTGGATTGGTTGGTTCTGGTTTATATTGGATTGGTTAGTTCTGGTTTATATTGGATTGGTTGGTTCTGGTTTGTATTGGATTGGTTGGTTCTGGTTTATTTTGGATTGGTTAGTTCTGGTTTGTATTGGATTGGTTGGTTCTGGTTTATATTGGATTGGTTAGTTCTGGTTTGTATTGGATTGGTTGGTTCTGGTTTGTATTGGATTGGTTGGTTCTGGTTTGTATTGGATTGGTTGGTTCTGGTTTATATTGGATTGGTTGGTTCTGGTTTGTATTGGATTGGTTGGTTCTGGTTTATATTGAATTGGTTGGTTCTGGTTTGTATTGGATTGGTTGGTTCTGGTTTATATTGAATTGGTTGGTTCTGGTTTGTATTGGATTGTTTAGTTCTGGTTTATATTGAATTGGTTGGTTCTGGTTTATATTGGATTGGTTGGTTCTGGTTTGTATTGGATTGTTTAGTTCTGGTTTATATTGAATTGGTTGGTTCTGGTTTATATTGGATTGGTTGGTTGACAAAGTTTGAGAATATCTCCCTAGTTCAGCTCCTTCTACTGTATCCCTAGTATTGATTGCTGGGAGTTGAGAAGGGAAAACAGGGAGAACATCCCCCCCCTCCCGTTCCCCCCGGAGAAATATTTTAAAATGATAACACCCAACCCGTTCTGCCAATTTTAGTCCTTCTTCTCAAACAAAAATTACATATGTATATAATTTTATTTTTAAATGAGACATTTAAATTTCTATTTAATCTTTCAATTTAACTTTTCAAATCTCTAATTTGTAATGAATATTTGTTCACTTGAAAGTGAGATGTTATTACTCTTGGATTTTTTTCCCTCATCAAACATTCGATTTTTCAACAAAAAAAGTCAAGAAAATTGGTCTGCCACTTTGACTTTGACAAAGACTCTCTTTAGATAATTTGTCCAATTCTAAGTTTCTAGATGTGTTAAATGTCAGACCCATTTTCTATTGACTGTCTTTCTATCCCGCCCACTCATATTTATCCATCCTCCTTGCACTGTCACCATTCTCGGTCTAATGCGCCCCCTCATTTATTGTCCTTTCCGATGTTATATTTTCTGATTTATTAAAAAACTATTCTTATTTATTCCTGCAGTTCTATCGCTAGCTTTATTTGTGCACCTTTTTAGCCATATCAGTAAATTTTTTATGTATTCATTGTACTACAAGTCCCTTCAGTCAAATTCACATTTCTTTAATCCTATCCTTTTTTATTGCAATTTATTTACCTTCATATATTGTTGTAATATAGTTTAGTCCTTAAGTTAGATTAAGTCGTCTTTTTAAAAAATTTATAACTCCCTTTTTTGCCAAACTCAATTTTTTTATATTCCAAAAATAATGATTGTCAATATTCTCAGGTACGTGAGATGCTCCGGGCCCAGGACAGTAACGGGTCCAAGATGCTCTCCTTGATGACGGAGCAGTTCCTAGCCGACCCTAGACTTGTTCTCTGGCACTCTCAGGGTACACCTATGACTGATAAATGTCGTCAGCTCTGGGACCAACTAGGTGAGCACTATTTAAATATAATTTTATACTTATTCCAACACCGTTAGTAAAAATATCCAATATTTATATTTGTTTAGTTTGCTCAGAGGGGTTTAAAGATAAAATATTCTAATATTCTTGATATTTGATAGTAATTATCATTTTTTTAATTTTCCACCTAAATAAATCTTAAAAATAATTTTAAATTAATAAGCCCAATAACCATAATACTGCATTGTAAATGTTTCATTAATTAGTTAAAATAAAAACAAACTCCATTTTCTTGAATAAGTTTTAAAATTTTTATCCTGAAAAGTTTATTTGTTTAATTAAAGCATGTTTTTGTGAATTGACATTGATATTAAATTTATGATGGACTTGCCTGGGAACCCAGCTTTGCATGAAAGCTGAAGTTTCTCTATAAAATTCAATCCACTAAACTTAGAATTTTTAAACCATCATGAGAATCTGTCCTCTTTACATAAATTTTATTTAGCAGGTTAGCAGACCAAAGGAACTGATTATAACTGATCATGAAACCTATGAAATCTGAACAATCAATTGATCAAAGTTCACAGGATTAAACCAGTCTGCAAAAAAACGGATTAAAAAATTAGAGTTCGATACGTGGTATCAGTTTCTTAAAGGTTGTAAATATTAATATTGTTTATTGTTTAGGTTCTCTCTGGGTTTGTGTAGTACTTAACCCAGTATCAGGGTCTGCTGAAAGAACGGCCTGGAGACAAATGCTCAGCAAGTGGACCAAGATTGAAGTCTGTCCCCTGGAGGACCCAGATTACAAACCATCCTCTCGGAGACGACAAATCTCAGGGACAGACGGAGAAGAGTCTGATTCTGCTCCGTCCTGCTCCTCCCGTCCTCCAATCCTTGGACCTGACCCCACCACAGTTCACTGCTCTAGGAGGAAACCTAGAACCGTGTTCCACAAGGCCTTGGACGCCCTGCAGATGAACTGGCAGGATCAACATCTTAAACGTCTTATCCGAGGAAAAACTTTAGACTACTGTCCGAAGAAAGAGAAATGTGAAGACGATGTTGAGAGTTTGCTGTGGCACGAGCACGTTCCAACAGCGTGTGCGCGTGTGGACGCGCTTAGATCTCATGGATATCATTGTGAAGCTCTACGACTGGCTGTGTCTATCGTGAGAACGATGAAGAGAAACCAGGAGCTTGCTATTGCACATTGGAGGAAACAGTCTCAGAAGATCTTGAAAAATTGCACTAAATCGGGGGTTGCTAGACGTCCAGGATATGCTTCTTGGGAGGGTTGGATAGGTCACCCTATGGATCCAATCGGAGCTCTTTTTGAGACATTAGCTGAAGCCTCTTTAATCCCGGAAGATCGAGGACGAATGGGATTTCATCTGGACGATCCAACCCAGGAAGAGGGTGTTGTTCCACCCCCACCTCTACGCTACAGACATGTTCGTATCTCCGGGAGTAAAGATCGTGATGAAACCTACCTAACCCTGGCCGTAGAAGCTGCTCTACTAGGGATGGGACAACAAAGTATTATGCCTGCAGGGCTTTACAGCCAGGAGAAGGTTATACGACAGGAGGAGAAATTAATTCAAAGAATTGGAGAGATACAATTGGATCCAACACTCATCTCAGTCTTGTGCAGACAGGCTGAGCTTCTCCTAGAGATGGGTCCTTCTTCATCCCTTGGCTGTGGAATCCATCCTGAATCCTCTCCGGTTCATGCATTCTCAAAGTTCCTTTTTCTTGCCATCCTTCCACACAATCCAGAACTAGCCTTTACGGTTGGGAAGAAGGCGATCCGACTCCCGATCCTGGATGATAACAAGGACCCGGAGGAGAAGGAGAGCAACGCTGCTGCCTTAGTAATGAGTCGGTTTCCTCGATGGTTCACACTCGGACATATCGAGAACCAACAGTGCTCTCTTGCATCAACTCTTATCATAGCTGCCAAAGATAATATAAATCAATTGACCGGAATCTTGGACGCTGCACAGAGACATGTTCACTCCTCGTCTCATTTATTTAAATTAGCGCAGGATGCGTTCAGATATGCTGTACCGACTGACGCACCGCGGCATCCTGCGCTCCTCAACGTTTCTTTTCAACTTGGACTTCAGGTCATGCGTTTAACGAAGACGACAATGAACTGGAGACGGCGGGAGATGGTTAGATGGTTGGTGACCTGTGCTACGGAGGTTGGGTTAGATGCTTTACTTTCAATAATGTCGATGTGGAGTCAACTGTTTACACCGACAGAAGCGACAGGGCCTGTAGCGACAAGTGTAATGTCTCACTCCACTGTGATGCGACTAGGTTTAGATTATAGAAAGCAAGAAGAACTTTCTAACTGTGCGCGTACTCTTGCTCTACAATGCGCTCATGAAGATCCTCCTAACTGTGCTTTAAACGCTCTCACCCTGTGTGAGACGGATCCAATTGCGTTTGAGACTGCGTATCAGATTGTCACAGACGCAGCTTCAAACGGAATGACTTCATCTCAGTTGTTCACAATAGCGCGCTACATGGAGCACAGAGGATACCCCCACAGGGCGCACAAGCTTGCTCTCCTAGCGATGAAGAACGTGAGTTTATCATATAACCAAGACACACATCCTGCCATTACTGATATACATTGGGCTTGTTCTCTCTCCCACTCCCTAGGGAAAACCGAACTGTCCGGCCTTCTCCCACTTGTGGTTCAGAATGTCAAATGCGCCACTGTCCTCTCTGACATCCTCCGCCGCTGCTCCATGACCTCCCCCGGTATTCCAAGTCACGAGGCTAAGTCAAGATCTAAAACCTCGCGACCTCTCTCCTACGACAGATCCCCGCTCCGCCAGCTCCTTGAATCCGCTCTAGCGGCGTTTGTAACAACAACTCATTCCCGCCTGACCTCTATATCTCCCAGACATTACTCTGAGTTCATCGACTTTTTAACCAAAGCCAGGGAAACATTTCTTTTGGCGTCAGACGGACATATTCAGTTTGTTCAGCTCATTGACAACATCAGGTCCGCGTACAAGGGGAAGAAGAAGCTCATCACTCTTGTTAAAGAAAGGTTTTGTTAACCAGTGAGATTCTCATGTGATATAATATATATATATATTAATATATGTATACAATGTATTGAGTAATTTGGAGATTTATCGATATATCCTGGTTTACGGCATCTATCTCTACTGGGTCCGTGACGTGAACTACTGTGATAATCTTCATCCAGTTGTATCTTTCATAGCAATAGCTCTCTAGCTATGTGACTATCTCTCTATCTAACTCTCTGTTAAGATCTCAGCCCTTCACTAAGATAAACATTAAGAACCCAGTGGTAGCTCTCTAAAAAAATCTAGAATAGTGCAAATTATTTCGCGAGTATATGTTTTTTCAACGTTTTTTTATTAAGACTTAGATAATGCCAAAGTCAATGTTTGATTTTTTGCATAGTTATGAATATACAGTTTCTGTTGTAGTTAACATAAACTACATATAGACCTATAATTTATGTTCTCAATTAGTAAAATTAAACTTGAATCCGTTTATTTATTTTTCTTTGAAACGTTCGTATGTTTTCTACCGATCCGTTCAGCAATGAAAGCAGCAAAAAGTTTTCTGACGATCTAGTTGGTTGGAGCAGACGAACCCGTTTCAGTTATTCATTCTGAACCTTGCTTTACATCCTCCCAAGATAGCTTGCTTTGTACAGACTTATTTTAGTATTTATGTACGTAATGTACAGAACATTCTGTCACTTGAAAATGTTAATCAGACTGCCTGCAGTTCCTGTATGAAAATAAGTTTTAATTTTATAGTTCAATAGTTTTTCCTTTTCGAAAATTAGCCTTTGTCTATTTCCATAATACGCAAACTGATGTAAATTTTGTTGATACTAAGTGTTCTTAAATACATACAGCCTTCAATTAAGAATAAGAATTAAATAGTTTTTTGTTGTTAAAATCTTGAACTTTTGCTGTGTTAAACTTTTAGGTTAATTAAATGTTAGTTTCTGCACACTGTACAGTGTACATAGTGTTTTACAGTTCTATGATGCACTGTGCAAAACTGTGGTGTACAGTATTGCACTGTGTTGTCTGCATTCTTACTTATTTAGTTATAAAATAAAAGAAATACAAAATAGATTTATTCTAATGTATCGAGAGAGTAAAAAGACTTATGACATTACAATATTAGTTTTTGGGGGGCTATGGTTACTAATCTACTTATCTTCTGTTCTCGCGAAAAAAAAACTATTTTATTATGAGTGAATCTGTTTGGTTCTGCCTGTTTAGAGTCTTAACATGTCAGTCCTAAAGTTTTCTTAAATACGATTGAAACAACTAGTTAAAATAAGTTTTTTTACAAGTAACCTGTGATTTTGTATAATTTGTTTCAATGAAGCAATAAAATCAGATTTTGTCCAGAAGGAATCTGGAATAGTCACTCGAAATTAGAATATATCTGAGTTCCGACAAGGACATATCTTTGATTGTGACTAATGTTATGTTGGTAATTCATAATTTTCAATATAATTCATAAATGTGGGGATCAAAGCAAACTGACCATTGGGTTTTCAGTCCACACTTTTTTTGTTACTATTAAATAGTTTTGATAGGTTCCAGCTAGTGATAGGACATAGCTTGGTTCCAGCTAGTGATAGGAAATAGCTGGGTTCCAGCTAGTGATAGTACATAGCTTGGTTCCAGCTAGTGATAGGACATAGCTTGGTTCCAGCTAGTGATAGTACATAGCTTGGTTCCAGCTAGTGATAGGACATAGCTTGGTTCCAGCTAGTGTTGGGGCATAGTTTGGTTCCAGCTAGTGATAGGACCATGTTAAAAATTGTTTATTTTAAACATTTGCTTTTCTTATACTCATCAATTTTTTTTACCCTGAGATTCAAATACACGAAAATACAAAATATATTTGCTTTTCCCTAATATTTTCTCTATTTGCATAGTAGTTTAATAAAATCATACGTTAACAGAGAACAGCTTGAAATGTTGAAAGTTCAAAGTATTTGTGCGGTGCCTTTGAAAAACCTCAAAAACGCTATACGAGGGAGGGAACCCTGGGACACCATGAGCCTCCGCTATGCAGACACGAGCCTCCCAGATTTACTCGGCAGACCGAGCCTCCGCTATGCAGAAATGAGCATGCGCATTGCGCAGTACATTAAAATGTGCCTGTATAATACAGGAGGTTTTTTTAAAAACTTGTGTTGTAAGTTCAAATAAGATATTTTTTCAAATTTTTTGACATAGTGCATGCATGAGGGGTTTTCAAAGATGAGAAGTATTTATCAATTTATCATAAATAGTGCCTAATTATGACTAATAAAATGGTCTATAAAACTTTAACATTTTTACACGAAAAGGAAAATATTTAGAGAAAAAAAATTGAATTAAATTTCATCTTTTATAATCTTTGATTTACGCGATACCTTTTTTTTATTTAAATCTTAACATTTTTAAAAAAAGGTATTGTTTAAATCAAAGATTACAACACAGCAAACTTATTATACTCCAGAAATATGTCTCCAAATATCTTCCTTTTTGCGTAAGACATGTTTAAAGTTTTAGTAGAAATCTTATAACCCACTTTATGAGTATATATGTTTCTAATCATACAATAAAAAAATAACTCTAATCTTTAGTAAAATTTGTATGCCACTAGGTCAAAAAAAATGTTAAAATTTGTCAATACACATAAAAACCAAAAAGCTGTACTGTCTGGCGGAGGCTCGTTTACTGCATAGCAGAGGCCCATGGCGTTCGGGGGTTCCCTCCTTCGCTATACACAACAAAATATGAGCCGTGTTGCCACATCAATAAATATATATTATCTTTTTTAATGTTTATATTAGTATTATAAAGCACTTACAAGTTACACATCGCTAACTATATTTTAAAAGGTAAATGATAGGTGCTGTCACTGCTACCATTATAAAACCTAAATGAACTGAATGAAGATTTAAAGATTTTTTGAAATAGTGACGATTTTGTCGTCTTTGTAAATGATTTTTTGATTTAGTATAGGAATACCTATACTTTGAATTTGTTTGTTCATGTTTTTAGCATACTGTGGTGTACTTAATTATATCAGAAATTTCGCTGTTTATCTTGCAGAAATGTTACAGAACATCATACAACGTTTTTAGAATAACAAAACAGTCTTTTTACAGTTTACATAAAATATACTCTAGCAGACGTAACTTTTTTTGACAATTGAAATTAGATAACCAACGGTAATTCTTTACAAAGACGACTTCTAATTCGCTCTTAATTCCCATGTTTATTGGGACACCCTGTATAATGTGATGAATTATGATACATACCTTTTTGAGATATGATTTAATGGGAAAGAAGATACATTTATATATATATGATTTAATAATCCATTAAAACAAAAATCATTCTTCCTTTAAAATTTTCTTTTGAATCTTTCACAATCGCATATAATTTCAATTATTTCAATTTTTAGTTTTCAATTTAATATTTCCAAAATAAATAAGACGACATTTCTTAATGTTGTAGATAGGGATTGGAAGAGGGAGGGGGTGCAGAGGCGCCATGATCCCCGCAAAAATGATCTCCGAACCTCAGGATTTGCAGAATTATCTCCCGGCCCCGCAAAACTGGTCTCCCAGCCTCAGTGACGTCACCAAGCCTCCCGCCATTCTGTCTCCTCGCCCCGCATTTTGGCTCCAATAAAAAAATATTTGGCTTTTATTTCCACCAAGAACCTTTTCTTTATTTGTTTTGTTAAGCCAATAAATTTAAACAAAAAATAAAAACAATAAGCGGAGACCAAAATGCGGGGCGTGGAGACAGAATGGCGGAAGGCTTGGTGACGTCACTGAGGCTGGGAGACCAGTTTTGCGGGGCCTGGAGGTAATTCTGCAAATCCTGAGGTTCGGAGATCATTTTTGCGGGGATCATGGCGCCTCTGCACCCCCTCCCTAATTGGAAGGGAGTAAAATTCCTCTTTTTCTAATTTATCCTTCTCCTCTCCTTCTAGTTAATCCTTCTCTTCAACTTTCTCCTCTCCGTCTAGTTCATCTTTCTCCTCTCCTTCTAAATCAACTTTCTCCTCTCCTTCCAGTTCATCTTTCTCCTTTCCTTCTAGTTCATCTTTCTCCTCTCCTTCTAAATCAACTTTCTCCTCTCCTTCCAGTTCATCTTTCTCCTCTCCTTCTAGTTCATCTTTCTCCTCTCCTTCTAGTTCATATTTCTTCTCTTCTTCTAGTTCGTCTTTCTCCTCTCCTTCTAGTTCATCTTTCTCCTCTCCTTCTAGTTCATATTTCTCCTCTTCTTCTAGTTCGTCTTTCTCCTCTTCTTCTAGTTCATATTTCTCCTCTCCTTCTAGTTCATCTTTCTCCTCTCCTTCTAAATCACCTTTCTCCTCTCCTTCTAGTTCATCTTTCTCCTCTCCTTCTAGTTCAACTTTCTCCTCTCCTTCTAGTTCATCCTTCTCTTCCACTTCTCCTCTCCTTCTAGTTCATCCTGTCCTTCAACTTCTCGTCATTAAAAAATTATTTGATTTTTTAGGAATTGATGGAAATCAGAACTATGAAAACGGGAAAATCCATGAATTTATCCATTAAGGTATTTATACTTACAGATGTAAGAAAAGGAAAGGTTTGACGAACAAGCAACAAAAAAGCTAAAACTAATAAAGCCCTGAAATCTTGGTAATATATAAATGTGTTTATCTTATAATGGGCTAAACCGATCTGCCCCACATTATTGGGGTAACTTTCGTAACCCTATATTAGGTGTATGGCCTATCAGAACCGTTGATATACACTTTTTAAATGTTGGAAATCCACTAAACCAATAGCAAAATCTGGGAAATCTTTTATTGTTATTCCATGCAGATGGATTAGTAACAAAGCCAAGGTTTGGACAAGAAAGTTAAAATCCAGGATTATACAGTTGAACCCTAAATAAGCCATACCACGAAATAATTCATTAAATGTCGTATTCTTCACTTTCTGATACTGGAATGTTGCAGATATTTAGTTTTTTAATTAAATGATTATTGGGAGCTCTTTAAAACTGTTCCCGCATATTCATAGCTCTTTATTTATTTTCGCAAACACTGAGATTTACGTAATATAGTATGAAACCCTTTAAGAAATTGTCAAGACGACATTTTATAAACTTTTTCCATCAATGGCTCATTTAAGATTTAACTGAAGATTTTTTGTCAGATTTTCCATCTTGACTTCCTACTATTACTTAATTCAATTTAACATACTTAAGTACCCTCTTTTCATTTTTCTTATATCTTTTTACTCCAGATTTTATAACACAAACTTTAGACAACCCTTCCTTGAAACCGGAAGTAACGTAGACCTAGATGTGAGATTTCGCGTAAATATTACGCCAACTAGGCATGCGCGGAGGACATACATCGACCTCAAGGGAGGAGGAGGGGAGTGGGTGGATACACCACGGGGGGAGGATGATATGAGGGGGGAGTAGACCACGAGGGTGGGAGGGGGAGGGGGAGAGACCAACAGCCTCTAGTTCAGTCACGAGACAACCTCAGGATACTAGGTATCTATACTTTAACTCTCTATGGATATTCTTTATACATTTATAAGTTACGTTTAGGCTCTCGACTTATTCTTTTTGGTAGCCTACCTATATACTTTACCCTTCCTCAAATGCCATCCTTTCCTCATATACCCTTCCTTCCTCACATACCCTTTCTTCCTCGTATACCCTTCCTTCCTCATATCCCCTTCCTTCCTTATATACCCTTCCTTCCTCATATACCCTTCCTTCCTCACATACCCTTTCTTCCTCATATTCCCTTACTTCCTCATATACCCTTCCTTTCTTATTTACCCTACCTTCCTTATATACCCTTCCTTCCTAATATTGAATTTCCGGCTTAATATACCTGGACTTTCTTACCTCACATGATATCCTTTCCGTGCCTCATAGACATCCTTTCTAATATATTAAACTAACTCTAAACATTGTAGCATGGCAAATTAATTACAGTGTATATAAAACTAAAATTTAATTTAAATTATGTATGTGTGTAATTTGTTTCGGAGAAATTGGTACTTTAAAAACTAAATCGATACATTTTAGAATCATTAAGTTTTGTAAAAAAAATTTTGTTCAAATAAAATAAAAAAGTTTTACGGTTTTCATGTACTATAAAACCCTTTCTTCCTCTTACACCATTCCTTTCATCATATACCTTCCTTCCCATATATCCTTCCTTCCTCATATACCATTCCTTTCATCTAGACTTTCCTTCCCTTATATCCTTCCTTCCTTTATATTCCATTCCTTCCCTATATACCCTTCCTTCCTCATATACCATTCCTTCCTCATATACTATTCCTTCCTCATATACTATTCCTTCCATATATCCTTCCTTCCTCATATACCATTCCTTCCTCATATACCATTCCTCTTCCTCATATACTATTCCTTCCTCATATACCATTCCTTCCTCATATACCATTCCTTCCTCATATACTATTCCTTCCATATATCCTTCCTTATCGAACCCTTAATTCTAATATACCTATATATTACTCAGAAACAAGAGAAACAACTTTAAATTATCCGACTTCTCCCCTATTTACTGGACGTATCATAAAATCCATTTATAAAATTGGTTTTTCCTCCACTATTTTTTTCCTTAATGGACACGTGTAGACATTGAAAGAGAATTACTGGATGGATAGTTAAAAACGTAAAACCATGAATTAAATTTTAAAAAAGGAAATTAGAAAAAAATAACAGTTTTATGATTACAATTATTTCTATATTTTCACAAAAACTTCGCAGAGCGGTTTTATTATTTCACTTAATTGTTCAATAGGACGTTAAGTAACTTAACGTCCCTCTGGTGAAGGAATCATAGGTCGAGGTAATGTTGGCCAAAAGACGACAAATCTGTTTTTCATATTTCTTTTCCTAATAACGAGACTAATTGTTTTCAGGGATTTAAGCCACTAGCTTAGGCCAGACTAAATCAGGCATTTTAAAGTAAATCAAAATACATATTGCAAATCAAATAAAAATTTAAATTATATACAGTGAGAACCAGAAAACACCGGAACAGAAAGACGATTTTAGGCTCAAGTTGTCACTTTAAATAGTCCAGTAAACATTAGACACAACAATTGTGCAGTGTAAAAGGCCCATCTCACTGAGTAAGGGATTTGATAAGTCACTGGTATAACTATTTGATTTGTAACATCAAATACGCTTAAATATTACTTTAATGTCGTCTTCCTATTCCATAGTTTTCTTACTGAATGTTTTGATTAATTCTATTGTAAATGTTATTATTCTTATCGGTACGTTCACTCTTAAAATATTATTATAAATTATTACATTGTTAACATAAGTTTGATAATTATTAGCCTCTTACATTATTAATGTAGCATTAAATTAAAATTATTGATTTAAAAACAATGCTTAAACCAATTTTACAAAATAGAAAGCAAGTTTAATGTTATATATATACAGTGATAACCATAAAACTGTAGAATAGGAAGACGACATTAAAGCTATACTGAAGTACATTTGATGTTGTTAAAAAGCACATAGTTTTACTACAAGTTAGTAAATCAATTCTTATGTGAAATGGGTCCGTTTACACTGCACAATTGCTGGGTTTCATGTTCTTTCGACAAAGCGTGAGTCTTCTTGGTTGTCACTTCAGTTCCATTCCAAAGAAAATTTTATTCTACGCGTTTTTGTTGAGATAATTAAAAACATTTTAAAATATCTCAGCTCATAATTTAAATTTGTTTAATTATCTTATCAAAGGAGTTGAGTTTTTGCCACAAACTCTGATTTTCTAATCTCTATATCTTTGTAACCCAATGCGTAGACCTTATATATTTCAAACTATTAATACTTATAGATAAAATAATCTAAGTTTGAAATATCACAGGGTTGCACCATCAGGTTGTAAAATTATTAGGATCAGAAGATTTGAGTTTGTGGTAAAAACTCAATTCCTTTTAGTTGTATACTAGTTTTAACAAAATCCAGATATTTCTGATTATGCAGAGTTTTTTGTTACTTGGACACAAAAATTTCAAAAGATTCAAAGTTTTTAAAGTTTTTAAAGTTAAATTGAACATAAAATATTCATTTCTATGTTTAATCCCTTCTAGAAGATTTGATTTTCTCGAATTTTTAGAACTCATTTTCCGATTTCCCTTTCGTTTGGATATTTTCTTATCTTCTTGTTCCCTTTTGCATATTTTTATTTTTTTTACTTTCACTTTTTTGTCTCTCTCCTCTTTAATATCCTCTTTTACCAGCTCAGCAATCTGCTGAACACTGTTAATCTATTCTATTCATTTTTTAATACTTATGAAGAAACCATTTTCTCCAAACTTTGAACAATTTACCCATCAAGAATATTAAATAGAACTGTCTTTGCCACAAGTTTAAAGAAAATCTAACAGGGTATAAATAAATAACTTAAATATCAATAACTATAAATATAAAGGCACTAAATATCTTGAAGATTATTTAGTGGATTTGTAGAAAATTAAAGAAAAGAAAATTTTTCTAATCTATAATTTGAGGTGATCTAAACTTGAAGATATTATTATACAATATACGCATTTTTTACACTCTGCTCTAGACAGAAGAAAGGTCAAATTTATGCGACATTATTTTTCAACTAGATGAGTGTTTTCTCATTAGCTTTTCAACTAGATGAGTTATGATTGAAACGTGTAAGATTCTTAAATTAAATCAAATCTAATATACAGAGACCTTCATTATACCGTCGTTTTACTCATTAAAATTAAATATTTCTTGGCAATTTTCTAGCTTGTTTTTGTTGTAGAAACTCACGAGATTATTTCTTGAAAATCAGGATCGATCATCGTTTCCGTGACCGAGAAATCTTCATTATTTTAACATAAATATAGTGAACTGTTGATGGTTATTTTTAAATAATAAAGGAATTGAGTCTTTGGAACAAAATCAAATATTTAAACCTTAATATCTTTTGAATTCGATGTTGTAAACCTTTGATATTTCAGACTCAGATTATTTGATCTAGCAGAATTCATAGTTTGAAATATCTAAGGTCTGCAACATTTGGTTCCAAAGATATAGTGATTAGAAAATCAGAGTTTGTGGCAAAGACTCAATTCCTTTAAGTGGTGGGAATGATACATAGCAATAGCAGATTATGTATCAAAAACGTTTCGTGATAAATATCTATTATGTTTAATATTTATTGTGTTCATCCAATCTAAAATTTGTTTATTTTTAGAATACCAGGAGCTCCCCAGGGAGAAAAGTTGCCAAAATTTCGTTCGCGAATTTCAAGTCTTCCTTCGCCTCTAATGTCACCACTCTTCGGAGAAGGTTAGTCACGGTTTTATTTTTTATTCTTTAATTCTTAATTATATCAGATAAGACAATGAATTATATCAGATACGACAATGAATTATATCAGATAAGACAATGAATTATATCAGATAAGACAATGAATTATATCAGATAAGACAATGAATTATATCAGATAAGACAATGAATTATATCAGATAAGACAATGAATTATATCAGATAAGACAATGAATTATATCAGATAAGACAATGAATTATATCAGATAAGACAATGAATTATATCAGATAAGACAATGAATTATATCAGATAAGACAATGAATTATATCAGATAAGACAATGAATTATATCAGATAAGACAATGAATTATATCAGATAAGACAATGAATTATATCAGATAAGACAATGAATTATATCAGATAAGACAATGAATTATATCAGATAAGACAATGAATTATATCACATAAGACAATGAATCCCTCGCTTACGCTCGTGATAAAATCTCATCAAAAAAGTCTCGAAAAAACCATTCCTGCTAAATTTTGCAGTTCTCCCTGGTAAATCCTCGCTAATAGTAAATACATAGTTATTTTTACCAAATATGGGTCCCTCTGGAATATAGACAGTTTGTAATAATTGATATTAGTTTTTTATATTGTATGTTTGGATTACTATACATCAGAAATATAATTGAGAAAAATTGGTGTTCAATACATTTTTCATTCCACGCAATATTGTAATAATACATCTGGGGATACAATATTATAATTATTTATAAATAAAAACATACAAATAAAAGTTGTTATCTTAAATATTGCGACCTACTAACATGAGTCCTATCGTTGCATGATCTAAACCAGTACAAGGATTTAGAGGTCTAGTGTATAATCATAAACTTTTACTCTTCTGTCCTATAGTAAACCCATCAGAGTTCGGTCGACCCAGTGCATTTTGTAGACTGGTAGGCCGGATCCATGTTAACTTCCTAATGATCTCTTTCCGACCTATATACAGATAATATTAATGATGTTTTCTGTGATTTTGCTAAATACTGTCAAAATCAATAAATTTATTTTCGCAATCAGAGCATTTTTTTGAAAATTGTTACTCAGAAAAAAAATCTTACACCTGGTCGTTACTTTTTTACGTTTAACTAGTTAATAATTATACCTTTCCGCTCAAGAAACAGTGAAAAAAATATTAAAATCCAGGTTCTGTTGAGCTTATTTGTGTATTTTTTTTCTTTTTTGCTTAAAGTGATTGGAATTAAGGTTCTAATGAGCATTTTTGTTTCTATGTCTGATCAAAACTGTTGAACCTCTAAAGTACAATAGGTGGGAACAGAGAAATGGACCAATTATACACGTCGTCACAAGTGTCAAATATAACAAGGAAATCGAGATTTTCTCACATTAGTTTTCCAAGATTAAATAAAAAAGTGTAAAAACAGAAAATAAAGAACACATAAAATTGCACTTATCTTACTGTAAGATTAGCGACCACATAGCTCAAATTAATTAAATTCGGTGAATTTATAGAGGACGTGAGTCAGACTCTAAATAACAACGCATAAATAACTTCCAGTATATATATTTCTTATAACTTATTACTAGAGGGTTCAGAACTAGAGTCAATATCGAAATCACACGTGTAGATGTTTTATCAGTACTATGCCCCGTATCCGTTCTATCTCATTCTGTTGTGGCCTTCAAATCCTCGTAAGGGGTTTCTGAGGAGGCAGCAGAACCCATGATCAGGCTGCGTACTGAGACCATGATCTTCTGGGGAAGTTTCTGTACGATGTGGTCGAATTTGGTTTTTGACTGTGTGATTTGGGCGTTTCTGAAAGCCGCCTCTGCATGAAGGAACCATAGGGTGGGGTCCTCTGTCCAGAAATCCGGGAGCTTGACGGAGACTTTGGCGACGAACTCGGTTGGAGTTTCTTTTTGGTCGGTCATGATGCTCGGATGTATCACTTAATGTTCAAAGTTCAAGAAAATCACAAAACTGGATAGCGTTTACTGTATGTTCAAAGTCGGGGGTCACCAATATAGAGGACGTGAGTCAGACTCTAAATAACAACGCATAAATAACTTCCAGTATATATATTTCTTATAACTTATTTCTAGAGGGTTCAGAACTAAAGTCAATATCAAAATCACACGTGTAGATGTTTTATCAGTACTATGCCCCGTATCCGTTCTATCTCATTCTGTTGGATCTTGTGGAGCTAGTTTAACGCGGCCAGGCATCGTCTTCCACAAATTAAACATTATTAATCAAATATTAAAAGACAGTAAAGGAAAGTGTATTTTGATCTTTTCTTATACACTGATTTTATTTGTTCTTAAATATCAATGTAGAACATCATTTTCCCTTTGTGTATCAAATTCCTGGATAATTCTGTCAAAAATTAATCAAAAAATATTGGTTTTCAAAGAATATCTATAAAATACTGTAGCTGGTATATTTTACAAGATGCAGTAAACTTTACAACTGTTACTAAACTGCCTTTATTCTAATCAAGGTTGTATAATTTTGTAGGTAAAGACGACTTTAATTGGAATAAACACTCTTAATCCTGATATGACGTCACTGCTTATTTTACAGAATAATATAATTTGCGGCTCAATTAATATAAACAAACTCAAAAATTGCAATCTTGGATTAGAATTGAATTTTTAGCTTCAAACTTGTTAGCACAATCAGTATCAAGTATCAGTGACGGCCAATGAGGTTTTAGAGTGTCCATTGCAAAAAAGACGATATAAACCTACATTGAAGCGTATCTATCTAACCTTATATACAACCTTGATTCCGATATATACAGATTCAGGGGTCAGAGTAAAATCAAAAGTTTATCTCTTTTTAAAAATCCCTTCTAGGCTTTATTTTAAGTAGTGTTTGATTTTCTTAAAACCATCCTGTGAAAAATATTGTTGGACCTGAGAAAAAACAAAACTATTTTTATATTCTCTGTTAAAATTAGAGTCTGTAGAAAAGTTTTAAAACATTTAATTTGCATTTTCTCTCTAATAAACGTTTTAGGACCGAACAATAAATGTAAAAACGTCCTTTAAATTGTAAACTCGATGGTTTTTTCAAGTCCCGGGCAAACTTTAAACCAGCTAGAGCACTAGCTGCACAGTACAATAACAAACCACGTACTTTACATTGTAAACTCTGGTTCATTTCAAGTGCCGGGTAAACTTTTAACCAGCTAGAGCACTAGCTGTACAGTACAATAACAAACCATGTCCTTTACATTTAAACTCTGGTTCATTTCAAGTGCCGGGTAAACTTTTAACCAGCTAGAGCACTAGCTGTACAGTACAATAACAAACCATGTCCTTTACATTTTAAACTCTGGTTCATTTCAAGTGCCTGGCAAACTTTTAACCAGCTAGAGCACTAGCTGTACAGTACAATAACAAACCATGTCCTTTACATTTTAAACTCTGGTTCATTTCAAGTGCCGGGTAAACTTTTAACCAGCTAGAGCACTAGCTGTACAGTACAATAATAAACCATGTTGGACAAACAGGGGCGGTACGCCAAATAACACATCACCTGCCAGTGAAATGTGAATTAAAGAATTTATTAAATACGAGTAGAAGTATATTTGGAACTCAATGGTCTGTGCTGTACAATTTATCTTGTCCCTAAAGGCCGTTTCTAAACAAAAAATAGAGTTTAGAGTGCAGAAAAAAATCAAAATTATCTTTCGAAAAAATAGATTTTTTTACAATGCTAGGGTTGACGTTTTTTAGATGTTTCGAATATGAAAAGTGTTGGTTTCAATAAAAATCGTTGATAGGTACTATAGGCTAGGTTTTTCATTTTGTTCAGTAATAAAAGTATTATGCCTGTTTTATAAAATGTGAGCTTTATGCAAATTTAATAGAATTAATACTTATGAATGTATTTCTAGGTTATCAAGTGAGAATGTCTCCTCTCCTTACGATGACCGGCTCGACAAGGTTGACCCTGACGGTGAACTTGGCATGCAAAAATCCAGGTAGAAAATAAAAACACAATCCACCTAACCAAAGAACTGATAACTTGTCTAAAACTATTTTTTAATCCTTCCATCTTTGCAACCTGACTAGTGTAATCCTAGACAATTCTCTGTTAATTTTCTATGCCTAACCCAACCTGAATTTAAATGCTAAGAACCTTTTAATTAGTTATTAATCCCATCTATTTAAAGGTTTTTGGTCTTAAGTTAAAAAGATAACATATTTTGATAGGGTTGGGTTAGGGCTAAACATTAACGAATTTCACCGATAATGGAAAGTTGCCCAATCATATTTTTACTATATGATCCAGCAGAATTCATAGTTTGAACAATCAAAGGTCTTTTCAATCAGGTTTCACAGATATTATAAGAAATTTAGTTTAGAGTTTGAGGAGAATAATCATGGCTACTTGTTTGTAACATTTCTTTTTTTATTATTATTTTAGTTCGAGGTTAGTTTTGATTCTGTTAGAAGTTAGGATTGTTTTATTATTGTATAAACTTGATTTGAAAGTTATCAATAACAGTCTTGTTTTTCCCAAAGTTTCTGAGCAAATTGCATTTTTTTTTGATTTAATCTGAATACCAACATCTACTGAGTTTTATCAATCAGGGTTCAGTTCAGGTCAAATCTACTCAATCTGTATTCAGTTTGAAATTTGTAGAGATTACAACTTTATCATTTCTACCTTAGCAACAAGTTAAAATCGAACTTGAAGCAATCTTAAAAATGTTCCCTGAAAAGGAAGTCACTTTAATTTCAAGTAACCCGGTCCATTCATTTTTGAGTCACTATGCTAGGTTTAAAAACTTTATCTGATCAGTAGTGTAGATGATATATTCGTATTTCTGGCTTGACAACTTTTTAATTCTTACAATCTCCTTCATTGTTCCTGTAATAGAAATCCACAAGTTACATTAAAGAGAAACTTTAGTTAATTGAAAATAATCAAATTTTCAAGAAAAAAGCATTATCATCTGAATACTTCTTGATCAGACAAAGCTTTTAAGCATAATATTCTGAATCTGATATGGTACTCTTTAAACTATTCTGAATCTGATATGCTACTCTTTAAACTATTCTGAATCTGATATGCTACTCTTTAAAATATTCTGAATCTGGTATGGTACTCTTTAAACTATTCTGAATCTGATATGCTACTCTTTAAATTATTCTGAATCTGAAATGCTTCTCTTTAAACTATTCTGAATCTGATATGCTTCTCTTTAAACTATTTTGAATCTGATATTCTACTCTTTAAACTATTCTGAATCTGATATGGTACTCTTTAAACTATTCTGAATCTGATATGCTACTCTTTAAACTATCCTGAATCTGATATGCTACTGTTTAAACTATTCTGAATCTGATATGCAACTCTTTAAACTATTTTGAATCTGATACGATACTCTTTAAACTATTCTGAATCTGATATGCTACTCCTTAAACTATTCTGAATCTGATATGCTACTCTTTAAACTATTCTTAATCTGATATGGTATTCTTTAAACTATTCTGAATCTGATATGCTACTCTTTAAACTATTCTGAATCTGATATGCTACTCTTAAAACTATTCTGAATCTGATATGCAACTCTTTAAACTATTCTGAATCTGATATGCTACTCCTTAAACTATTCTGAATCTGATATGCTACTCTTTAAACTATTCTGAATCTGATATGCTACTCTTAAAACTATTCTGAATCTGATATGCTACTCTTTAAACTATTCTNCACATTTGTAGATATGCTACTCTTTAAACTATTCTGAATCTGATATGCTACTCTTTAAACTATTCTGTATCTGATATGCTACTCTTTAAACTATTCTGAATATGATATGCTACTCTTTAAAAGGAATGCCACTTGAAATTACGACTACAATCCCTTTAATGAAATAAAAACGAGTTCAAGCTTTATCTACAAAAACACAAAGAATTAGAGAATGAGTGTTTACTATTCTCATCAAATTATATTTAAATTCTTCGCATAATAAAAATCTATATTTTGGAATTTAAAGGAGGACACCTAGCCGTCCTCCCTCGAGGACGGGAGAGGGTACCCGGAGCAGGAATCCGTCCTCGGATAGAGGACACGAGTTAACCCGGTAACCAGAAATATTGTAAGAGCTTTAGAAAAATGAAATATTATAATTAGATTTAGAGAACATTAGGTTTACACAAGGGTTCCGGTGGGGTTCTGGGGTTCCTGGAGAATAGAAAAAACTGAGAGGGTTGTTACACTGTACAATGTACATTTAGTAACAACCAATACCGCGAAAGGACAATAATTTGTAAAAATAAATTAGTTACATTTAGGTAACTTAGTTGAAAAATATTTATAGAGCAATAGTTTAAGTAGATAATTAATCTTAAACAACAAGAACAGAAATTATCAAAACAATGTATATTAGTTGATATGCTTCTTACTCAACTACAGTGATAACCGGATAACTTTGGAATATAAACTCGACTTTTAAACTCAAGTTAAAACCTTAAATAGTCCAATGAGAATAATACACAGCTATTGTGCATTGTAAACAGACTAATTTCACATGGTATGTTATTTTATAACTTACTAGTAAAGCTATTTGCTTTGTAACAACATCAAATTCACTTTAGTAATGCTATAATGTCGTCTTTCTATTCTACAGTTTTCTGGTTTTCATTGTATAAAATTAGATTAGTATATTGAAAGCACAGGTATTTACAAAATGATATGAAACAGCATGACCAACTTTTAAAAAACTAGATTAAATAAATAAATAAATAAATAAAAAATCTTAAAATTCTCATTAATTTCAAAATGGTTAAATTTTGCAAACATGAAGTCTGAAATAAGCCATGCAACCAATGTTTGAAAAAAAAATTTATTTGAAAGCTCGTGTATTGCTTACAATGTGTAACCATTTTGCAAGTATATTTAAACAAAATAGAAATTACAATTTGTAAGTTTTCAAATTTCTCAGATTTTGAAGAGTCTTACCCAAAAACATGAAATGCCAAAAATAGATTTTTTAAAGGATTTGAGTTCCTGCCACACATGTTCTAGACCTTAGATATTTCAAACTATTATTAATTTTGTTGGATCAAGTTTGAAATATCAAAAGTATAAACCATGAGGTTTCAAAGATATTAGGATTCGAAAAATTGAGTTTATGTCAAAGGCTCAATTCCTTTTGCTAATTTTCCAGCTCGTTTAATCTGTAAAATATAGATAAAATACGATTAACCATTAATGTAGAGATAAAGGTTTTAATTGTATACAGTTATAACTTTTTGAGGATAATCTCTAAATAGTCAGGAAATGGTCAGGGAATGGTCAGGGAATGGTCAGGAAATGGTCAGGGAATGGTCAGGGAATGGTCAGGGAATGGTCAGGAAATGGTCAGGGAATGGTCAGGAAATGGTCATGGAATGGTCAGGGAATGGTTAGGGAATGGTCAGGGAATGGTCAGGGAATGGTCAGGGAATGGTCAGGGAATGGTCAGGGAATGGTCAGGGAATGGTCAGGGAATGGCCAGGAAATGGTCAAGGAATGGTCAGGAAATGGTCATAGAATGGTCAGGGAATGGTTAGGGAATGGTCAGGGAATGGTCAGGGAATGGTCAGGGAATGGTCAGGGAATGGTCAGGGAATGGTTAGGGAATGGTCATGGAATGGTCAGGGAATGGTCATGGAATGGTCAGGGAATGGTCAGGGAATGGTCAGGGAATGGTCAGGGAATGGTCAGGGAATGGTCAGGGAATGGTCAGGGAATGGTCAGGGAATGGTCAGGGAATGGTTAGGGAATGGTCATGGAATGGTCAGGGAATGGTCATGGAATGGTCAGGGAATAGTCAGGGAATGGTCATGGAATGGTCAGGGAATAGTCAGGGAATGGTCAGGGAATGGTCAGGGAATCGTCAGGGAATTAAAATTGAATGAAAATTTCATAAGAAGAACTGTTGAGTTTTCTTTAAAACGACCATGCCAGGATCTAATCTACAATTTAAACAAATTTCTATTTTGTTTGTTTTCATTTTCATGTCATAACTCATAATCAGGGTAAAAATTGTAATATTTAATTTTTAAAGTTTCAATATTACCGTTTTTAATTTAGATAAAAAATGTTGCAATAAGGTAACTGCAGATGAAGATTATGTTTATGTTATTATGTAGTTAACGTGCATATAAGGTACAGATTAAGATTATGTTTATGTTATTATGTAGTTAACGTGCATATAAGGTACAGATGAAGATTATGTTTATTCTATTATGTAGTTAACGTGCATATAAGGTTATTTCCAAACTGTTTAAGATCAAAGTAAAACGAGGAATGTAATTTTATTTTTCAATTTTGATCTTTAGATCTTGTTTTGAAATCTTTTTTATATTTTCTAAAGGGAGGCATATATATATATTCTATTAAAATTTATAGATCTAATGCCGCTTAGATAAAAGACGAGTTTTAGTTTAGCACTCTCATATGTGTATAGGCATTCTGTTTATTAACTAATTTGGCGAGGATGATATAAATGAAAGCCTGAACTAAAGAAGTTTTAATTTTATATTTCGAAACAATATTAATTAGAATAATGGAATCTTTGTTTAAAATTAGTAACATTTGTAGAATAATTGGCACTTTTTAAAACTAAAATTAAAGATTATATTTGATTGTGTGAATGAGTTTATTGTTATGGCTTGATATACTCTTGCTTTATATAGAGGACAATTAAAACAATTAGTCAGCAATTAAAAACAAAACCGGCCTCAGATCTTAGAACACAACCTCTTTTGATTTTGTAGCCATGCACATGAAGTTTTAATTACTGAAAATTGTTTATATTCTGCTTTGTAAGAGGAATTAATTAAATTTCTTCATTAGATTAAAGGTAGCGCGAGGATGTGTTGAAAATAGGGCTGGGGTTTCTACTTCTTGGAAGCCGTTCCGTTCTGTTCGTTCCTGTGAAAGAACGATCCTTCCCCTGGATGGAAGCCCAGCAATTAGGGCTGGACGTGTTTATACTTTTTGGCTATCGTTCCGTTCCGTTTTGTTTCTTTTCGTGAAAGAATGATCGTTCCTCAGGAACGAAGCACAGCCATAGTGGAAACCAAATATTTGTTTTGTCAGATTTAATGGCTTCTGTTTTCCTCAAACAATTAAATTAAACCAAGAATATTTTTCTAGATTGAGCGGAGTTGATGTTAAAAAAATAGTAATAATTATAATGATAATAATATTACTGAACTTGACAATATCATTTAATTATTTCTGATAAGCTGACAAGAAATCATTTATTAATATATTTTTTTTCTTATTCGATTTTCTTTGATCTATTCAAGCTACTCAATTGGATGAAAGAATCCATGGATATTATTAGTTTTCAAGTTTAGTTCTTTTTACTTTATTGTTAAGAGAAATCCTCTTAAATAGAATTATAATGTAAAAAAGTTGATATTGGTTCTCGAATATTAATATATGTCACGGAAACACGACTTTTACATTTTCATAAATCATAAATATATAACGTGACACTAACTAGAACTAAGCATGCCCATTTCCTTTAATTCTGTGTCTTTTCTTTTATTAAAGGTTTATACATTGGTTTTAGTTCAACAAATTGTTTTTCAAAGATGAACTGATCCCTTTATCTTTGCACCCTGATGATGTAAATCTTTGATTTTTCCCAATATCAAAGATCTACGCTATTGGGTTGCGGCAACATTGTGGCAAAACTCAGTTTCTTTTGATTATTTGAATTTGACTTCGGTATTTATTCGCTCGAAGCCTATCATAAGTTTTTATTTAATCGCGATTTTTGTTTAAACCAGTGAGAGGCCTGCTAAGAACTAATGAGAAGCCTACTATTATTGTTTTTGCTTAGATTACCTAACGTTTAGCTTTTTACCTTGAAACATTAAGTAAATTGATTTTTTAGCCAATGTGAGAACAAGAAGACGGACACAGAAAGATCTGATAATTTTTTTCTTTAAAACCAAACGGCTGGACCAAAATGGCTGAAACATTTTGAGTGAATCCATGGGTTCCCGGCCGGGGGTGACACAGCCTAAAAAATGGATATTTTTATTTTAAAGGGTTTTCAAAACCTGGGCAACGTATTTACTCCAGCTAGTATCTAGTTTGTAACCAAATAAATTTGCCTTTCTCATAATCATAAATATGACTCTCTCCTGTGGTCGAACCGTGTCGAATTTCTTCTATGAGAACATTTCTTCTATGATAGAATTTTTACTATTGCAAAATTTCTTCTATGATAGAATTTGTTTTTAATCTTTGTGAAGAAACAATCTCAAGAACTGACGAGGGTCAACCCAGACCGAAATATATTTTCAATAAATGATAGAATTTCTTCTATGATAGAATTTCTTCTAGCATAATAATAGAATCACTTCTACCATAATGATAGAATTTCTTCTAACAGAATGATGATGTCTAGGTTGTATCAGCTAAGGTTGAACTGGCTAGGGATAAAGCTGATGCTTACAGAGGGATAAACAAGGATAGATGCTTCACTCTTCTTGTTATCGATGATCAGAACACAGATTGGTGAGTTGTCCCTTTATTTATATATTTTTATCATGAAAACATCCACAATATACTGCGAATTATCATCATTTTTACAACTTCAAACAGAACAAAAAAGAAAAATTTAAAATTCTCGAATACATAACAATGTTTATCATTTCTTTTAATATTTCAGGTCTAAATATTTCCGAGGTAAACGTGTCCAAACAGACTGGGATATCAAGGTGGAACAAGCAGAGTTCAGGGATACGTAAAACCATATTAAACTATAGAAATGGGAGTGCTTCTTGGTCCATCTTTTAACTCTTTTTTTACTTGATTTTTACTTATGGAATTAAACCACTCTTTAAACTGAACCATCCGGTCCGCTCAAAAGAAGAGGGTCAACTAAGTTTACGAAGTTCAACTACTGATGAAAACCATACTCTGGGCCATTTCAGGTCTCACACAGGTCCGTTTCTGTTCAGTCCTGGTGGCCTTTTTGAGCTCTAGAAAAAGGATCCTAAATAAGAAACATATTACAAGATAACGAAATTCTTATTGTTCCAGACATTGCTAAAAAAAACAGACTTTAATCCTTAGAATAATACCCCCCCCCCATATCCTTTATCCTAATATTATAGTATGTAGATCAGAATAACAACTGTTCAGTCAGTCATGAAAACAAATATCTCAGTCTCAATATTTAGTTTCTCAGAAAACATTCTTTCAACTTTTCAACGCAAAAAGTTGGATTTGAGATGGGAAAAATTAGACCCCATGCTTATCTATTTTCATATAAATAATATAGAAAATATTTTTAATATTTCTTTGATCCTTAAAATTGCATATTTCAAACCATAATCCAATGAAAGATAAAATTTAATAGATTACCCTTGCACATTGATAACCATATTCCATTATCCTTTGTTAATGACATTATTCCATTTAATAACCTTACTCCATTATTCTGTATTCATTAATCCCCTACTAAACCTTTATCATCCTATATTCCATTATCTACAAATTCTCCGCTTTCAACCATTAGTTTCCATTTCTCAGTGTTAAACAAACAACTTGACATTGAGAGATGATCTGGTAAAACTTAAAGGGACAGTAAAGGAAAAATAAAAGGGGGTATAGGCTGAAAGCTAATCACTTTAGCTCTTGATAGCGACCCATGAAAGTTTTATCTGATGTTCCTGTCTCGAGAAATTGATATAAAACTGTGTTATAATTATACGAAAATTCATATATGTAAAATTTTGAAAATCTGAAACTTAAATCACGTGACCAGAACTATCACCAATGGCAGAACAGTATACTGGTCACGTGTCTCCGCCTGTATCACGTGACCACTTTACTGCACTGCCATTGGTGGAATTTCTGGTCAAGTAATACGGACGTAAAAATAATATTATGAATGAAATCTATTGAAAATAGAAACAACAAATATAAAAGTAAACCTAAATTACAATTAGCTTTCTCTGGGATATCATCTTTTTCAGATTGGTTGCTGTTTTTCTGAGCATGGTCTGTTTAAACCAACTATTTCTATACGAAATTGTATATATATGCATTTTCGTACAAGTTTGAAACAGCTTTATATCAACTCTCGAGTTAGGAACTTCAGATAGGCGTCTCAAGGGTCTCGATGAAAAGCTAAAGTGATTAGCTTTTAGCCTATACCCCCTTTCAATTTTCCTTTACTGTCCCTTTAAGCTGAAAAATATATAGAAAGGAGAGAGCAGAATACCTATTACACTCTCATTTACTAAACAGAGCGATGCAGTTTATGGCACTAATACCGGGGTCCCGGAATATTTACAGGGTTCTCCAAAAACATGAGATCTCAAGGAAAAATGTCAATTTTTATTTCATCCTCATTCAATGGTTTGCTTTAGATATATTCCAGTACAGACGACCGCGATTTCATCTCAATCGTAATTTTTAAGTCATTAAACCCTTCTAGTATCATCCATTAAGAGAAGGGGGGGGGGCTCTGTTATTTAGTTTGGCAATAAAATTCTGAGTCAGCTAAATGAGCATCATTTTTTGTTGTAATAAATCCAAATTTTGTGAAAGCATCTACATTCACTTTATTATATTTACAAAACTAAATTCTTTTAGTCTTCAAATAAGTTTTGACACGTTTTGATTAATGATTTTACTCCCTGACATTTGTCTGTTATACTTACTGTCTGTTTTAAAAGTTTAAAGACGTCACACAGTGAGCAAAAACCAAGGTTTGCTATATGCACTTCGACTTTGCAAAACTTTTGTTTAAGTTTCCATAAAAATACGCCTTTCTTAGTTCTTTAAAATAAATATATACCATCTTGTGGCGGGATTGCTGAAGAATGATACAGGAGGACTCATGTGACCGGAATTAGGATTTTTTTAGCACTTTAAAGAATTCAAAAAATGTGATCATGATTGTAGCTTTTAATTCTAAATGGAGTCTTTTTAAGTAATGTTTCGTCGCCCAATCCTTTCATTTCAAGTATTTGAATATTGTTTTGCTGAAAAAAACAGCTTTGGAAATTGGAATTTTAATGAGAGAAATTTAATTCTATTCTTCAATTAAAAAAAAAATCTTAAGAATCTACTTAACTTTAGGAAACCGCTGTAAAACTAGTTTAATATCTTTAATTTTTGTTTAATCTCTCTTAATCCCTGTTCTCCTTAAAATTCTCATCTTCTCTTGAAATTTTATCCAATGACATTTCGTTTCTTGTCAGCTACAATATTTAATTGCAAAAACTTCTAATTCGTATTTCTACTTTAGCTGAGACACATGGGACCAAAACTGAAATTGCGAAAACTATAAATGTATAAAAAATAACAAAAAGAAAAGACCCAGCTATCCAGCTGAATTGTATTCACACAAAAAATAGGCTGACAACGATGATCTTTTGAAGATTAGAAAAATACCGTTTAAGAAAATTTAAAGGAAAATTAATTTTAAACTGCTTTCAATTTTCTATAGTGTATTTCAAGTAAGATATTGCAATAGATAATTCATTTCTTTAAAAGGAGTGTTCGCGAAAAATGAAAGGGGGTATAGGCTTAGTGCGATAAAAAAGCGCTTTTGATCGCTAATAATCTTACTTCTATCTGTTGCGTCTATAAGGAGAAAATTGTTAAAGACGTCTCATACCGAATAACTTAGTGGTCATACAAATTGAGAAAATTGCAACATATGACTTAGACCGTAAAAAATCAATTTAATTTCTAACAAATCATTCAGATATTACAACCTATAGTCATCGATTATCTTTCGCCACATTTGTATATAGTTTAAATTTTATAATATCTTTTAATTAGTTTGTTTATTTCTCTTGTCGCCTGCGCAACTATCTAAGAATGCCGCACACCCCTCACAATTTTCGAAATCCGCTGAAAACGTTTTCTAAATAAATAAAATATTATAAAATATAAATTATATACAAATGTGGCGAAAGATAATCGATGACTATAGGTTGTAATATCTGAATAATTTGTTTGAAATTAAATTGATTTTTTACGGTCTAAGTAGTATGTTGCAATTTTCTCAATTATGTATGGCCGCTAAGTTATTTGGTATGAGACGTCTTTAACAATTTTCTCCTTATAGACGCAACAGATAGAAGTAAGATTAGTAACGATCAAAAGCGCTTTTTATCGCATTAAGCCTATATCCCCTTTAATTTTTCGCGAAAACTCCCTTTAAGCTTGAATAGGAAAATATTTATTTAGCCTCTACTCTTCTAGGCTATAGATTTCATTTCAGGCAAAGAAATACTTTTATGGCATAAAGTATTCCAAATATTACAAAAATATAACATTTATGTATTTTTAATAATCAAATTAAACTTGAGTTGTTCCTGTAAAATTTAAATGCCTGCGCCACCTAAGTTGTGTTGTTGATTTAAAATGGCCGCGCGTCAGCTGATTTAAGCACGTGACATTTTATGTATGTTTAACAGAGATATAACTGTGACTGCAAATACTGAAGCCGGGGTAACAGTGTCAATATTCACCACAAACAAGGCTGGGACTAGGGTTCCGAGGTAAATTAATTACAAATAAAAAGAATATAATTTTGATTTACCAAAACACTATTGTTTTCATAAACATCATGCTAATGTAAAATTTGGCAGATGAATAGGCAATATTCAACATAAATGTTTTCTGCATATATTTACATAAATTCTATGTAGATATGTGTATACATACATATATTATTTGTCTGAACTGTACATCTAGCATATGTGCAGCATTCTTTTTATTTAATATATTTTCTGATAGAAAGAACTTTAAAAGGTTCCTGAAATTTGATCTTCCGGATATATGACTTCCAAACATTTTTACCCTTTAGATGCTCATTTTCTTTTAAAAGATTTATATCCCTTCCTTCCTTCATACTCTTTCACCTTTTCGCATTTACTTTTCTAATTTCTTACTTTATATCCTATCATTCTCGTTTTCCTCTTTATCTTAGTACCCCCTTCCGTCTCCCTCTGATAAATATAAGGCCTGTATCTGGTGCATGGAGGATATCTAGGCTGGGAACTGATGACGTAGTTTACCAAAGAATAGGACTTATTGATGACGTCATCCTTTTAAGCACAAAAGTTTAGCTGATAAACAAGAAAGGATTCATAATGCAAAAACATGTTCACCATATAATGTAGAATTACACATAATTAGACCACTTCGATCAAATTAAAAATTTTAACTAAGGTATAAAAAAAGCATTGTTCCATAAATATGCTTGTAAGGTTTCATGATTCTATAACATTTTTGACTAAATGGAAAAAATCAATTGTTTCCATTTTTCTGTTTTCGCTAAATATTTTAGTATTTCTACTTTTGAAAATACTCAATATATTTACCCTGTAAGATTGGGTTAGTCTAGTTTTAAAGTTCTGTAAACCCACTTAAAAATGTAAGAATACATTTGTTCTAATGGTAAATTTATTGTCCCAACTCAGAAATCGGAATTCAATCAAAAGTTTTAATTTTCCTCTTTTTTAAATGCTTTTAACCCTAATTTCTTCTTGTTTTTAAGCTTGAAACCTGATTTCCTCTTGTTTAGAAGCTTTAAACCTAATTTCTTCTTATTTAGATGCGTCAAACCTGATTTATTCTTTTTTAGATACTATTTTCCTGTTTGAAGCTTTAACCCTAATTTCTTCTTGTTTAGATATTTAACCCTGATTTCTTCTTGTTTAGAAGCTTTAAACCTGATTTCTTCTTGTTAAGATGCGTCAAACCTGATTTCTTGTTAAAATGCGTCAATCCTGATTTCTTCTTTTTTAGAAGCTTTAAACCTGATTTTCTTCTGGTAAGACAGAACCTAAAGGATGCTAATGAAGATTACAAGGTGTGCTATTCTTAGATTTTAAATTTGAGTTTTTTTTTCAGAAAATTATAGATTTTCTTAATAATATTTTTAAGAAAAGTTTTGTTCTAAGTTTAGCATGATTTAGAACATGCTTCTTGGTTTACAGTATGGCGGGGTTCCGAGCATAAATACACTACAATCTATTTATAATTTCCAGGTAGGAGAAATTCTTATCCTTCATAGTCCTGGGACCGAATCTAATGAATTTGTGGGATCACTGAACTGCCTACTGCTCGTTCAAATTTGAATCACAGATTAAATCCTTCCTGAACTTTAACTTTGAATCGGTGGTAAATAGTTCAGCGACGTAGCTCAAATTTATTAAATTCGGTCTCAGGTAAACTTTTCTTATGTTAAGGAACTGAATTTTTGTCACAAACTCAAACTTCATAATCCCTTTATCTTTGCAACCTGATGATTTAAACCTTTGATAATTCAAACTTAAATTATTTGGTCGAACAGTATTGGTCAAATTAAAAAAATATCGAAAGAAAAACAACGAAAAATCATTGAATGAAAATAATCGACAAAAAAATGTCCAATTTGTTGTACTAGATATTTTTTTATAGTTTTTATTTTTTATATTTTTTTATATACTTCGCCAGGAGTACTGAAAATAATCTAAACATAAACATAGTTTGAAATATCAAAAGTCTCCGATATTAGATTGCAAAATCATAGTTTATGACAAAAACTCAGTTCCTTTAAATTCTGAAAATTATCTGAATATTTGAATTTGTTAGGACCGACCCTGGGTATATGCTCATCTAGTAAACATTCAGCAGAAACTTGGAAAAGAAAACTTCCCACTCATTGACCAAACATACTTCCCAAACCACAAGGATATGGTTAGTTTTAATTATCCGTCCTCATAATTCAACCTTATTCTACTCCTAACCTACTCTTAATCCAACCTTATCCTAATCCTAATCCAACCTTATCCTACTATTATCCTACTATAATTATACTTCTTATCCAACCTTATCATACTTTTATCCTACTCCTATCTTTGACCTATCCTTCTCCTATCCTACTCCTATCCTACTCCTATCCTTCTCTTATTCTACTCCTATCCTACTCCTATCCTACTCCTATCCTACTCCTATCCTACTCCTATCCTACTCCTATCCTATTCCTATCCTACTCTTATCCTACTCCTATCCTATTCCTATCTTACTCCTATCCTACTTCTATCATCCTACTCCTATCCTACTCCTATCCTACTCCTATCCTACTCCTATCCTACTCCTATCCTATTCCTATCCTACTCCTATCCTACGCTTATCCTACTCCTATCCTACGCTTATCCTACTCCTATCCTACTCTTATCCTATTCCTATCCTACTCTTATCCTACTCCTATCCTATTCCTATCTTACTCCTATCCTACTTCTATCATACTCCTACTCTTATCCTACTCCTATCCTACTCCTATCCTACTCCTATCCTACTCCTATCCTACTCCTATCCTACTCCTATCCTACTCATATCCTACTCTTATCCTATTCCTATCCTACTCCTATCCTACTCCTATCCTACTCCGTCTTCTGCTAACCCTCTACTATTGCAGACTACTGGAGTAAAGTATCCATGTGTGTTCAAACTTGGGCATGCTCATGGTGGTCTTGGTAAAGTCAAGGTGGAGAATACAACAAGCTTTCAGGTATTATATATATAACCAGAGCTGAAAACTTTAGAATGGGATAACCTTACGCCCGATCTGTTAATTAATCTGGAGATTAATAACAAGAGGAGAACAAGCCATATCGAATCTGGAGATTAATAAAAAGAGGAGATCAAGCATCGATCTTGATATCCACCATTCTAAAGTTTTCAGCTCAGGGCAACAATAGTTTTCTATTAATTTGATCCAGTTTATTCCTAACTTTTGCTAAAAAGTGTAATAAATGAGAATCACATTTTCTCCGGAAAACCATTTTTTCAACAGAATTCAACCCAAGTTGAAAAACTTTTATGCTGGCTCTTGTTTTAACAGTTTGAAATACTAGTTTCTAAATTTGTCTACAGTAAAAAAAAGATTCTTGAAAAATGGAAAACTGTTCTGTGCAAACTGCAGGTTCTTTGCGTGTATCAGAAGTAAGAAAACATTTTAAAAACTTTTCCCACCAATTCTTAAAAGAACCCTAACAAGATGGAAAAAGATCAAAAGAATCATGCATAGATAAGATCAATCAAAAAAAACTTTTAATAGACCAAAAACAAATAAGCTTTGCTTAATTAAATCACAAACTTATTTTAAAAATACCAATCACAAACTAGCCTTGAAAATAACGAACTCTTATCTAGTCTTGATGATGAAAATTACAAACTTGCTCAAACACAAATTGGTTAGACAAGATCAATCACAAACTGGTTTACACAAGACAAATCACAAACTGGTTTACACAAGATCAATCAAAAACTGGTTTAGACAAGATTAATCACAAACTGGTTTATACAAGAACAATCACAAAATGGTTTAATAAAGATCAATCACAAACTGGTTTAGACAAAATCAATCACAAACTGGTTTTGACGAGATCGATCACAAATTGGTTTTGAAAAGATCAATCACAAACTAGCTTTGAAAAGATCAATCACAAACTGATTTTTTTTAGGGATCAATCACAAACTAGCTTAATAATTATACCAATTACAAACTAATTTTTGAAAAGAATATATTTGTCCAGGATATGGTGAGTGTTGTTGCAATCTCTAACTCCTATTGTACTGTTGAGAACTATGTTGATGCTAAATATGATCTTCACGTTTTCAAGATTGGAACTAACTATCGGGCACTCATGTAAGTACTATTTTCCTCCGGTAGATGTCTCATACATCTTGAATATAATATGATAAAACTGTTCTTGCTACACTACCCACACGAACCCAAGTAGTTAACTGTTCTTGCTACACTACCCACACGAACCCAAGTAGTTGTAGATGTATTATTGCTTTTTATGTTTCTGTAAAACACAATTATTCACAAATATGAAACCAATGCATCTTTTTTAGAAATTGAAGAATCGTAATTTATTAATTTGTGCAAAAAATTGTGAATGATTGTAATGATTAACAAATTGTCTCGTTTTCAATATCAATCAACTAATCATTGAAAACGAAGGCAAGTTCGAAATAATTGAATAGACATCTTCTAGGAAATCACTCAAAAATGGGAAAACAATGAAGATTTAATGAATTTAACTGCGTCTTAAATCCCCCAAAAACCGGTTTCAATTGAGCGCTGGTTTTAATCTTGAAAACTTCTTTAAATTCGGCCTCAGATCTTATTGATTTGCAAAAAAAAATTTTGTTAATATATTCCATTGGACTCCCATGTACATACATACAAAGGATTTTTTTTCGTGGATTATTATCTGACTGTTAAAATAAAAATGATCCAGAAAAAAGATAATTTGAAGCAAATTTAAACAACAACACACAGTTCATACTTTTACACAAATAAAATGTAGTCAAGCTAATTTATAAAACTATTCTCCTTTTGGAAAATGAATATTCTTTTTTTTAATAAATGTTTTCATTATTTCATTATGCCTTTCTAGAATTTAAAGTAATATTTTTTTTATGATTTTAAACATTAATGTTTTTTTGTGACTTATAACAAATAGTTCTTGATTCTAACTATCGTAATTCATTGACGAGGGATTAAAAGCTTAATTTCAATTGATCCTTCAATACCTTTCAAACCTTTTTATTTACTAAGTAATGACGACGGACATAATCCAAATTTTTACCATTTTCTATCATGTTTCCTTGTTTCATGCACTGCACAAAACCTCAACGCATTTTTTACAAATAAAATTGTTAAAATTAATTAATTTTGAAAAGGATGAATCGGATATATCCATCATCTTTAATCATCGATGGCACTTTTAAAAAGTGACAGTAGATATAATTTCAAATTCACCTTCAAGTCACTTGAAATTACGTCTACAGTCCCTTTAAATGGCTGTTCTTCACTTAAAAAGCGAACAATCTCTTTAAGTAATACAATTGAACGTTCTTTCTTTTTAAATAAACTAACTGATGTTAAAAAAGAAAAAAAAATTCCGGGTAAAAATGAAAACATTTGGTTCTTTTGATATTTAGAATATTCTCACTGATATTTGTAAAATTTGAATATTTTTGCATAAACACTTAGACGCCTCGAAAAAGTCAAATTATTGAGTACAATATTTTTTAAATTTAGAGTTGAGAGATGGATATTAGCAAATCGCATTTACACAAGCAGTAAATTGTACGTTGTATATATAATGAACATTGTAAACTCTTGTGTGCATATTTCTGGAATTATTCATATTATAAGAATAAATAAAACAAAGAAAATAGAAATTCTTGTGATGTTAAACTAATCCCACGTTCTATTGAAATTTGAGTTAACTTATTATAATTGTTTCAAAGGAATTTGAACCAAAAATTAAACAATTTATAATCTCAGTTCTTAAAATCAAATTATAATGTAAAAGGGGCGAGAATGAAGAATTAATTGGTTTTATAATGAAAGATTTGGTCTAAAATTTGTTGTTAAAGGATCAAATAATCTAAGTTTAAAAATATAAAAGAGTTACATCACAAAGGTTGCAAAGATATACGGTTTCTAAAATTTGAGTTTGTGGCAAAACCTCAGTTCCTTTCCTGAAGTTTAAAAGTTGTCACAGTGAATATCGAGATCTAAATTATAGATTCGCAATATTTTACACAAACATTTTTACCTCTGGGCAGTAAAGATAGAATCATGGTTAAAAACATATTAAATTAAATTATTTGAAACCATATAAAATAATAAACTAGTTTATCAACACAATTAAGAAAAACATGTAAGTGATTGGTTTGGATGATATCGCCTAGTTTCTCGAATAATATTTTTGCATAATTTATTTTATCATAAAAACGATAGATAAATTTACATAATTTGTGTGATACAACCAGAAATACATATAAAATAAAAAGATGCATATTTGAAAATTTAAGATATTGCCGAAATAATTCCCAGTTTTTCTTTTATTTCATTTATTTGTGATTAAAAGTTAATTAACTTTTTAAAAATTATGATATAAATTTTCCAATCCTCATTATTATTCAGTGTTCAATATTCAATAAAGGCGTCGGCAAATGGATTACAATCTGAAAATTATAATGTTTTAAATAAAATTTTAATTTTATGAATAATGATGATAATTGAACAAAACCTTCATTGTTCATTATGAATTGAGCTTGCCATCATCTAATATGCAAGTCGTCAAATAGTTTGTTTTCTTTAGGTTTAGTTTATTATTAAACGCCACATTGAAATCATCCCTTCTGTTTTTATGATCTAAAACCAACTTAAAAACATTGATTTTTTGGACCTCTATAAAATCACAGCAAAAGCGTTTAATAGGTTTGAATGAACAAAATATAATTATTACTTTGATAAAACTTATATAATATCTAACATGCTGTTCTATTAAATTGTAGAATATAGAATACATAAATTAAATAATATATTCCCTCCCTTGCACCATAGTAATATACATTCACCCCTACACAGTTAAAAAAAAAAAAAAAAAAAAACGGTAGCGGTCAAAATAGCGGTACAGGGAATTAGCCTAGACTCTACAATGCAGTTTAGATAAAAAAAACGATTCAAAATATTACTTTTTAGGTGGCTTCACACTTTTATTAAATCATTTTTTTTCTTGACTCGTTGAAACCAAAAAAGTTTTGAAAAAAAAACTTGTAATTGTGAAATTTACAGAGGTTGAAGACAATAAATCTTGTAGCCGTTATAAGAAAAAATGTAACATAAAACTTGTATTTCCAGCGGTTGAAAGCAAAAGAGTTAAAATAAATCCAGCGGTTGAAAAAAAATTAGTGTTTAAAATGTTTTTTATTCCATTGGTTTAAGACACTTAATTTTTATGAAAATAAATTTTTCATTTCTTATTCTAAACTGTAATGAGTCTAAGCTATGTTTATATGATTGAAAAAAAACATACATTTTTTACAAATGAGACTGTCAATAAAGCCTCTTTTGTAAATATTTTTCATTGGTAGATACATTTTACACTTATGTACATGTAAATTCTGTAATTGTGCATTTACAATGTACATGCACTTTGTACTGAAATAATTGTTCAGTGCATTGGCTAGGCTGTTGGAAACTATTCTTTGGTAAAAAGAAATAAAAATAATAAAAATTTGATCTTTAAACTTGCACCAATGAAAGAAAATGGCAGAATAGATTAATTAAAATACTCTTTCAGTCTCCAACAGGTTGCTCTGCAGTTATATTTATGCACATATTTCTGTTGTTCAATGTTAGTGCTAGGTTACATACAGAGCATTAGACTTTAGTTATATTTTTGCATTTTTAAATCGTAACTAAAGTTTGGTGCTGTATGGAATCAAAGATGATGCACAAGGAACCTCCATATCTTCGTTAAAGGGACTGTAAGCGAACAATTTCAAGTGACCCTCCATGCAAAGATTACTATGCCTTATTTACAACGGTTAAAAGCTTTGTCTGATCAAATATGAATTAGATATAAATGTTTTTATTCTCTGAACTGTTATTTTTATTTGCGGTTTCCCTGCAAAACTGTCTTGCTTATTTAAAGCAATAAAAAGAAATAAACACTCTTCACACATTGGTATTTTCCACAATTTTGATCAGAGACAGGTTTCTAGAGAACCGTTGTAAATCGGGCATTGCCTTTTTTCGCATTGAGGGTTACTTAAAATTACAGTTCATTTAACTAAAAAAGTGTACTGCTAATTTAAAAAGTTTTGTTTACATTCCTCCCAGAGAAAAAAAATACACTCACTTAGTAAAGAGAAATATGACGGTTCCTGGTGGATCTTTTTACGGTAATATCCATGCAAGTTTGGAATATAAAGACGACATTTAACCAAAATTATGTGCATTTACTTATTAAGTAAAATTGGTCTGTTTATACTGAACAATTTTGAACCATTGAACTATTGAAAACCATAACATACGTCTAACAGTCGCCTTTCTTATTCCAAAATATAATGGTATCACTGTATTAAACTAGCTATGTACTGCTTGCCACTGTTTGTGTACATGTAGTAACTGTAGTGTACACTTGTCCAGCTTGTCTCACTGTTGTGACTGCAGGCGGAAGAGCCTGAGCGGTCAATGGAAGACGAATCTGGGACAATCTATTCTAGAGGAGATACCCATCAGTGATAGATACAAGAAGTGGATAGATGCTGTAAGTAAATGTTTTTTTTTGTCAAATTACCCCCCCCCCCCCCAAAAAAAAGACAATTTTTTAATCTTTCGAAGAAATTCTAAAATTTTCTAGATAGAAATTTCAACGTTTCAAATTTTCACTGGCAAAGACTTTCTTCGTCAATTTGTAGAAATCATAATCCTAAATTCATTAGGACAAATTTTCCTTCAAATATTTAAAAAAAAAAATTTTCTTGAAAAAAATATATCTTTTTCTCAAGGAAAAAATACAATTTATTTTTCATAGATGCTATCTAAAAGGGGATATAGGATGAAACCTGAAAATCACAGGCGTTGAACGATACATATAAGACAACTATCTGTCTCGAGAAATAGATATAAAAATGTGTCAAATTTATACGCAAATTTATATATATGCAGATTTGTATAAAAGTTGTAGCATAAAACAGATCATATTCCACAAATGCAAAACCAATCTGATAACGAAGATATCCTACAGAAGCCTGAGGATCTCAGGTTTGCTCATATTATAATCTTTTAATTTTTATTTTGCAATTTTAATAGATATAATTGATAATATTATTACATTTAGTCCGTATTATGTCACCATAACTTCACCCAATAGTAGTGCAGTATACTGGTCACGTAATTTCCGTCTGTATCACTTGACTAGTATACTGCACTCTTATTGGTGGAAGTTCTCGTGACGTAATACGAACTTATAATAATATTGTCAATTATATCTATTAAAAGTGCAAAATAAAAATTAAAAAATTGTATAATACTTTTCAGATTGTTTGCGTATTTGTTGAATATGATCTGTTTAACCCTAATACTTTTATGCTAAATTTCATACATATAGATTTTCGTATAATTTTGACACAGTTTTTTTTATCAATTTCTCGAGACAGGAACATCAGATAGGTGTCTTATATGTGTCGTTCAACGTCTTAGATTCTCAGGTTTAATCCTATACCCCTTTCATTTTTCCTTTACAGTCCCTTTAATATCTCTAAAATAAAAGATACTTTTTACTTTCAGAGTTACATTCAAAACAATATATTGTCTCCAAATTTTTTTGTACTTTTTCTCAAATTTTTTTCCCTCCAGGTTTCTGAAATATTTGGAGGACTAGACATTTGTTCTTTGGAAGCAGTTGTTGCTAAGGATGGAAAAGAGTATATCATAGAGGTAACATAGTATAGAGGTATTATGTCATTAAGGTAACATATCATAGAGGTAACATATCAAAGAAGTAACATATCATGGAGGTAACATATCAAGAGGAAACATATCATAGAGGTAACATATCATAGATGTAATATATCATAGAGGTAACATATCATGGAGGTAACATATCATTGAGGTAGCATATCATAGAGGTAGCAAATCATAGAGGTAGCATATCATAGAGGTAACATATCATAAAGTTAACATATCATGGAGGTAGCATATCATAGAGGTAACCTATCATAGAGGTAACATATCATGGAGGTAATATATCATAGAGCTAACATATCAGAGAGGTAGCATATCATATAGGTAAAATATCAAAGAAGTAACATATCATCGAGGTAACTTATAAAAAATTGTTTTAACTGATTTTCTTTTGCTTGTATCGTAAAAATTTGTCAATCTTATCTACTAATTTAAAATTATTGCATGTCATTTTTTTTACCCTATTAAAAATGTCTGTAAAATTAAGGTGAACGACAGTGCAGCAGGACTCCTAGGAGACAGCCAGGAGGAGGATAGAAGACATATAGCAGACATTGTTTTTAATAAAATGGAGGTGAATATCTATACATATTAAGAAGCAATCTTTATTTGTTTGTTTGTTTTCCTCTAATTTGGATTGGGGAACTCGGTAAAACCACAGGGATTTTCTTAGGTTGGTTGTAGGGTTACTTTTATAGGGAAAGCAAATTAAAATTCTCTTAATCTTGATTCTCTTAAATTTAAGAAAATTGATGAACAAATCAAATTTTAATTGCACTTTTATTTTCTATAGTCTGAATGCAAGCAACCGAGGGAAATTAAACCCAAGTTGGAAGACGACAAATCTGTGGTGACTGCAACGAGTGGAGCGAGTGGTCCAAGCCGCCCCGCTAGTGCAGCAAGCTCATCCAGTGCAGCAGAGCTCGGCAAGGTATATTATAAACTGTGGGATATGAAGATGATATTAAAGCAATCTAATGTGAATTCGATAATGTACATTATAAAGCAAAAGTTTTCACCAGTGTGTTATAGTCTATAAATAATCTTACTATAAAAATGTGTAATATTGCACAATGCCTGTGTTTCAGGCATTTATGCTATTTAAAATCATAAATTAATTCTTACAGTCTTCCAATTCTACAGTCTATGGGTTTCACTAATCACTTTATGTTCTTAAAAAGGGCCGTGCTCGAAACAAATCTAATTTTCTAATTATATTATTCCAATATTTGTATGGCTCTCTCTGTATGTCCTAAACAACGGGAACGTGTTCGAAACAAGTTTAATTTTCTATAAAAAATCCAATATTTTCTTTAAAAATATCTGGAGACCTGGGGAAGGTCTAAGTAGTGGCTTTTTATTTCTTTCTTTTTATGGGGGTGGGGGCTCAGCACCCGTTTGAGCTAAAAAAAAACCCTGAAAACCAAAAACCATAGATTTTACTGATCCAAGGCGGCCTCCTGAATACGTCCAGCTGAGACCCGCTACTTTCACATCATAATATTGTGAGGGTTACTATGGACGAGACTTCTGCGAGGACTGTAGTGAATTTATTCAGTCGATTTTTTTTTACTACAGTCTACAGGGTTTTCCATATAAAATGAGACTTAAGAGACTACTGTACAACATTTTTACTGTCTGATTTCTTACATGTAAGATTCTCTGTAAACATGTTTCTTTAGTTGTTTATCATTGAATATGCCATAAAATACTAGATTTCAGATAGAAGACCTTAAAATCTTCATATTTCAAGAGTTTAATATCGTCTTTACAGCCTCATTCTTTGTGGGTAAACCTAAAGTTGAATCCCTGAAACTGTAAACTTTCTTTTAAAATATAATTTAGTTTATCATTACCAGACTTTTTTCAAGGCAGAAAACTAAATTTAAACTTGAGATCGATGAATTAAATAAAAATAGGTCGTCATTATATCATCTTACCATTTGTGGGTAACCTTGTACCCTAAACGGTGTGACTCAAAAACTGTTGAATAACGTACAAGCTAAAGGTTTATTTTATTATTCTGTATTTTATAAAATCTTACAAATTCTGATAAATGATGCATGTATCATGAGTCCATGACTTTTAAGTCCCGTAAAATCTAATAATGAATTTTGTTGAAGCCTTCAAGCCTTCAATTCCCTGAATACTTCGAAAATAAATTAAATTAATTTTAGGTAAAACAGGAATTGAAGGAGGTTATTCAACGGAAGGAGGTGAAAGCTAAGGAGATAAAGGGGAAGGAGATGAAGGGGAAGGAAGTAAAGGAAGTGAAGGAAGTGAAGAAGAATATAGTTCCGGATCCTAAACCTAGGGAACGACATGATTCTGCAGGTAAACTATCCTCATAACCAGCAACACGCGAAGTGAAAGTCGTCTTTAAGTTGTAATTGTTTTTACTCTGAAAATGAGCCCTGAACATTTACAGAGATATTTCATTAATAACAGTTACAAATAGAAAAATCTTTAGCTAAATTGTGACATTTTCAAACCAGTATTAAAATACTTCGGAATGTTATATTTAATTGTTTACAGTGAGACAAACAAATATGTAGTATAGGAAGACAACTGTTAGATTTGACTTAAAAGACATAAAAACACAGAAATTTTAAAGTGTATGCTCAGAAATTTATCTTAACAACTTTATTTTAAAGCTACTGCTAAGGATTTAGATCAAAAATGCTCTACATTACATGCTTTCTTCTCAGTGCTCTTTCTTCTTTACTCTATGCTACAGGGTGTCCCAATAAACATGGGAATTCAGTGACGAATTCGATATCGTCTTTTTATATAATTCTTTGATTGAGTATAGTAATACCTACTGAGAAAGCTGTAATCTGTAAGAGTTTCGTCTGCTTTGTTTGCATTTTGTTTGTTTATGTTTTGACTGCATACGGTTGTACTTAGTAAAACAAGAAAATTGCAGTATACAAACAGAGTAAACTTGTCCGTATTCACTATTCATCTTGCGGAGACATTATAGACACATCTTACAGTCTTCTACCCTTTTCATAAAATAAACTCTAGCAGACATAATAATATTATGGCTTTTGAAATTAGGTATTACAATGCTAATTCATAACAAAGACGATATCCAATTCGTCACTTAATTCCCATGTTTTTGGGACACCCTGTATATTTTTATGATTTATACTCTTTTGTGCCCTTTGCTCTTTCCTCAATGCTTAATGTTCTGAGTTCAAGTTACATGAAATACATTTAGTTTTGAAATTCCGGGTCCCAAGTCTGATATTACTAAGAAACTTTCATTTTATCAATTCTCATTTCTAAGCGGAAACTGAACAATTTTTCCCGTATAAATTCAGCTTTAAAATGCAATCTGAACAGGTTTCTTGACATGAATTCAGATTTAGCATGCAATCTGAACAAGTTTCTTGACATGAATTCAGTTTTAAAATGCAATCTGAACAAGTTTCTTGACATGAATTCAGTTTTATTATATAAACTGAACAAAGTTCTTGGCCTGAATTCAGTTTTAACATAATCTGAACAAGTTTCTTGGCATGAATTCAGTTTTAACATAATCTGAACATATTTCTTGACATGAATTCAGTTTTAACATGCAATCTGAACAAGTTTCTTGGCATGAATTCAGTTTTATTATATAAACTGAACCAGTTCTTGACATGAATTCAGTTTTATTATATAAACTGAACCAGTTCTTGACATGAATTCAGTTTTGATATAATCTGAACATGTTTCTTGACATGAATTTAGTTTTAACATATAATCTGAACATGTTTCTTGATATGAATTCAGCTTTAACATGCAATTTGAACAGGTTTCTTGACATGAATTCAGTTTTAACATGCAATCTGAACATATTTCTTGACATGAATTCAGTTTTATTATATAAACTGAACAAAGTTCTTGGCCTGAATTCAGTTTTAACATAATCTGAACATGTTTCTTGATATGAATTCAGTTTTAATATAATCTGAACAAGTTTCTTGACATGAATTCAGTTTTAACATGTAATCTGAACAAGTTTCTTGATATGAATTCAGTTTTAACATGTAAAGTGAACAAATTTCTGACATGAATTCAGTTTTAACATGTAAACTAAACAAGTTTCTAGACATGAATTTAGTTTTAACATGTAAACTGAACAAGTTTCTTGATATGAATTCAGTTTTAACATGTAAAGTGAACAAATTTCTGACATGAATTCAGTTTTAACATGTAAACTGAACAAGTTTCTTGACATGAATTCAGTTTTAACATATAATCTGAACCTAAAATCTGCATTAAATTTATTACGTTTCAACAAACTTTATTTTACATCTGAATATTATTCTATTACTCGCCTAAAACTCTACTTTTCTAATTCCTTTTATATATATCTTTGGATTTATAGTTTTAAAATTTTACAATTTGATCCAGCAGAATTCAAAGAAAAATATCTAGATCTACGACATCAAATTTCATAAATATAAAGAGTAGAAAACTAGAGTTTTTGGTAAGTAATTAGTTCCTTTGCAATATTATTGTTAAATTATCTGCACTGTGCTAGACCTTCTTTTCAATATTATTCTCAATTCTCAATTCTGCATTTTCTTTTTTCCTGAAAACTAATCTAGTTTTATTTTTCCTTGCTTGAACAGATTCGACAGGTAAAATGTTTTTTTTTTCTTTTTCTCCTGGGTTTGAAGATTGGAAACAATAAACGTTTTTTTTTCAGAATTTTAAATTTTCTATTAAGAGGCCGAATTTAGAGAATTTGAGCCGTGTCTGAAACATCGTTGGTTTCACTTGAAATATTCGAGATTTGAGCCGGCGCTCAATTAGAACCGGTTTTTTTTCGGTTCAGCGACGCGCTTTAAATTATTTAAATTCGGCCTCAGTTCTGATTTTTCTTTAGACCCTTGTACAGCTTAATATTCAATTATAATCATACATTTGTACCAATACCAAAATTTGTAATAAGTTTTATTTTTAATTGGGACCATTCATTTTTGACAGGGAGAATAAAGTGTTAACTTCCAGTCTTTATTTTGATTTGATGGTCGGTCTAATAATAAGTAATAAACAAAAATACTTTTCAGTATTTTAAAAACCCAAATGACGAGGGGGGGCCCGGGGGGGGGGGTTGTATATGAAGATTAGTATTTTCAGACAACTTTTTCTCTCATAACACAGTTTCTACACTTTACACTGATATTGTTTAAATTTTCCGATATCATCATACTGTCAAAAAAATAGATATATAGATTTTGCTTTTAATTATCGGAATCTTTACAGCTTTCACATCTTTAAAATTGGCGGGAAAATGCAAAACTCAAATATTTCAAAACAAATTTTCCCGCCTTTTTGTTTGTTCTTGCTTCTACATGTTATATTAATATCTGATTGTTTTGCAAAGATTCATCAGGTAAGCAGAGTCTAGACATTTCGTAGTTTTTAGCGATTTGATTTATTTTTAGAAGATTTTACAAATACTGCTGGAGAAAGCATTTTTAGCATGGTTATTTACTTTATAAATTTCAATTTTAGAAAACATTTTAACCATGCGATGTGTTTGATGAAACTTATTGTGTAAGAAACGGGCCAAAACAATTTTATTAAAAACTTTTGTATTTCTATCTGGAAACCCAGGAAATGCAAAGTAAACTTTTAAATAAAAAAACATTATTAAAACTCCATATTGCATCAATAAAGTATAACAGTTATTAATGTTTTTTTAAGAAGCTATCGAAAAATATTTAAACAAACTTTAATTTTTTGTTTAATTTTAAGATTTTCAAAATTTAGTACACTTTGAATGTACCTGTCCCCACATATTTTTGGTTCTATCGGTTTACACATTTAAACTTTTCTTGTGTGAACGAAACAAAGCATCTAGATATACTTGTAAAGGGTTAAAGCACGAACCTCAGAGTATTCAACCTTAAAAACTTTCTCTTTAAAAAAATGTTTGTAGAATACACTGTTTTCTAAAAGATAACATCCTTTGAAGGCCTACTCACAGATTACACTGATTTGACCAAAATATGTCTTTGTTGCTCAGATTTAAAATGTACCTGGCTCTTTAGTAACATTCTGTTAAATCTGTCTGATCTGTGAACTTAAAAACTATATATTTTATCCTATCTCTCTGATCTCTGAATTTAAAAGGGACGTAAATTCAAGAGTTCCTTTATTTGTTGCATGTCCGATTCACAACGATATCCTTTAAACCTATATCTGAGTAAGTAAACCTCTATCTGAGTAAGTAAACCTATATATGAGTAAGTAAACCTATATATACCTATATAGATATCCATATTTTTGCTAAAATTCTAACTGAAAATTCGCCGTGATCGAACAAGCCAATCTAAAAATGGAAGAATTCTTGCAGTTAGGTATAGAGTCCCTTTAAGAAGTGCATGGTGCTAATTTTATCTTGCTTGCTCTAAACTATAGATAATTCTTACATTGCATGATGCTTGAAATAAAAGCTCTATTGAAATACAACTATATGACATTTCAAATATCTCTAAATCTATTTTAAAGTATAATGAAATAAAATTAGATGCTAAGCGGAATTACTATAATATTAATAGATGAAAATGTTTTTATTTGTATCCTATGTTTTCTGTAAAATGGAAGAAAACATGCTTCCTCCAGCTTGGCAAACCTGTTCCCATATATCTGAGGAAAACTCGTTACAGATACATCGTATAGAATTAAAATTAGATTTTATTCATAACATGATTATTGTTAATTCTAAAACCTGTTTTTTCGTTAACATTCCGTTAAATCTTGATGGTTTAGGTTCTGAGTCTAGCTCCGGGTCTGATGACTCCAGTGCATCCTCTACGGTTAGAAAGGAGGATAAGGATGACAGGGAGGAGGACGGAGAGGAAGAGAAGAAACCTAGGATAGGAGAGGTAGGATTTTAAAAAAGTAGGAATCCTTGCATTTCCAAAAACAAAGCCATGCATGTAAATAACAAAGAAAACCTTAGAGTGAAAAATAGAATTAGAATAGTTTTGCATTTAATATCTTCATTAAAACTTGATCTGTCCAGGACGGAGAAATTCTAGAAGGAGAAGATACGATGAAGAATTTAAGGAAAACCTTTGCCGGGATCTTCGGAGAGCTTCAGTAAACAAGTTCTAAGTTTGAAAACCGGTTCTAGGTCCACCAGGGGTCACAATAAAACTTCGCAAACCGGTTCAATAAAACCTACAGTACACAGAGGTCACATAATTGTAAGCATTTAAATTGGATAAAATTGTTGAAGGGTTCTTGATCAAACAATTTTAAAACTTCAAATTACAAGTTTTCTTTCATTGAGCACTTTACTGAAAATGTTTACTTTAACCGCCGCCATCTTGTTCTAGAAGATCTTTGAGCAGTTGAAAGTAAGGAGAACAGTTAGTTTTATGAAAAAAAAACTTTTCCAAAAATGTTTTGACAGGAACAGTTATTGTCTATAAAAGACAATTGATTTATCTTAATTTTTCAATTTTGCAATAAAGCATTTATCTATCCACAGGTTACATATCATTTTCTCATTTATAAACAGTTATACAAGCATTTCCCTCTTTTAAAGCATTAAAACTGCCAACAAATATTTTATCCTGAAAACAAAAATCCTTCTTTTATTTGGTATTGATAATCAACCATTTTATTTAAATATTCTGTGATAATTTTGCCCATGTATGTTTATCATTTAAATCGGAAATGAATTTTACTTCCGATCAAGGAACTCAAAGCATCGCAATTAAGGTTGATATTCTAAAAAATAAAAATGGTGCATAGCTAGATGTCGTGTTATTGTGAATATGTTTAAAACCATTTTTCAAATTTAAAATTAAAGTTATTCAGCCCCCATCCAGGGGTCTTTCATTATTCAATGTTATAAATTATTTTCTAAAAATATTGATGTTTTTATTACAATTCTTCTCATTGATGTTAATATATGCTGTTTAAAAAGTGTTAATTTCAACTTATTGAACGAAAGAAACCTATAGACTAGGAAAAACAAGCATAATGTACTCATACCCTCATCTTTGTTCCTAGGTTAAAATTAATACTTCTCTATTATCCTGTTAATTAATTGATTATTAATATTATATGATTAATTATCATTGATAATTATTAATGATTATTATTAATTAATTGTTAATTGTTGTTCAAGGCTTTTTTACATATTAGATTAAAAAATAGTCCCACAAGCTTACAGCTAGACAATACAGTTATAAGTAAATTGTACAATATTTATATTGTACAATGTACATACATACATTTGGGTGTGAATTCTTTTAATAGTATGCGTATAGTACATTCATGAAAAATATACGGTTAAAACTAAAGAGTCCATCTTGAATCTTTGAAATAGGAAACCTTAGAACTATCAAAAATTCTTTTTCGAAAGATTAGGAAAAAAAACCAAAAATATTTTTTTATTTAGAGTTTCTGCCTGTATGTAAAATCAAATAAAGAATCTAAACACCAGATTTAAATTCTAATTTTCTAGTCTTTGTATCTTTGCAACCTGATGTTGATATCTCAGACTGCTAAATTTTTAAGATCAAATAGCCAATGGTTGAAATATTAAGGGTTTGCACCATCAGATGGTAAAGATACAAGAATTAGAACATTAGAGTAGAAGAGTTTAGTTCCGTTCTAGTATTTTCATAAAAGTTTTAAATTACTAAGTTAATCAAACTGAGCTGAAAACTTTAGAATGGTGGATATCGGGATTAATGCTTGATCCAATCTTTTTCTTAATCTCCAGATTAAATAATGCTCGTTTTCAGCTCTGAAAATTTAGAATGTGATATCCTTAATCCCGATCAGTTAATTAATCTGGAGATTAAATTCATGAGGAGAACAAGCAATAATTAATCTGGAGATTAAGAAAAAGAGTGGATCAAGCATTAATCCTGATATCCAATATTCTAAAGTTCCCAGCTCTGATAAAGTATTAATATTTATACCCTGATATTGGTTCTTAAAAACTTAAAAACTTCGCTGAACAGATATTTTTGATTAAATTGTTAATTAAAGACAGGAAAAATTCCGGAAAGTTTAAAGAGACAAATTTTGGAGAGCAATTTTGTGAAAAAGTAGATTCCAAAATAGCCGATACAATCACACAAAGTTATAAATCTTCTTAAAATAAACCTAAATAATAAATAGGGATACTTTGGGGCATGTGGGGGAAGAGAATGAGGAGTGCAACCAGGAAGGAATGTGGAACAAAGCTAATTTTGTTTCATTACATTTTTTAGAATAGATTTATCTCGACAGAATTTAATTTATTTATTAAATTCGTATTCTTTATCTCTGATTCTCTGTTCTTATCCAAGATAAAACTTTAAATCTATTTAGAAATGGATTTAGGCTAAAGCCGAAGTTTAAATTTAGATTTAGTTAGAGATTAACTAAATTATCAAATCCTAGCTTGGGGACCCGGCTTTGCCTGGTTATACAATTTCCATATAAAAATCAACCTATGTATTAGAGAATCTTTAAGCTATGAACAATCACGAGGTTCTGACAAGCTACAAGCTAAATTTGAGGCAAATCGGTCAAGCAGTAAATGTGTTATGATCAGACACACAAGAAAAGAATACTACTTTAAATATATCATAGCTTGGGAACCCAGCTATGCTTGGAAATCTAACATTTCCATTTACAGGTCGACCAACTCTACTTAGAATTTCTAAATCAGGCTAAGAGCATTCCCGTGGTTATTCCGAGTATCTCAATCGAAGTTTGAGACAAATCAGTAAAAGGGTTCATGAGTTATGATCGGACATCCTAGATACATTAGAATAGATTTATTGACAAATTTCTTTTGAGAAATATGTTCCTGAACATCTAATTAGTTTACTATAGAATTTTTACTATATTTTTCGTCGTCGTTCTTTAATAATTAAAAAAACGATTCTATAAACGTACCCTGCACACAAATTCATGATTTTGAACGTCAACTTTGCGCTCAAACTGAGTGTTTATACATCTTTGAAACGTTTTTTATGTCTCAAATGAATCCTAAAGAATTTGTCCACAAGACAGTTTAACTACCTTACATAGCCGGTCTGTCCCTTTAATTTCAACTTCCGGCATGGTTAAGACGACATGAGATAGCTAGTCTGATTTATCTGTGTTGGACATACACACACAAACAGAGATTGCAACTTTACAGCTGTTAGGGCGCTTCGCACCTCCTATACTGTAACTAACTTTTAACTCTTGCTCTGAAAGTAAAAAAATTTGGGCCCGATCGGTTCCGCTGTTTTGACGTTTATTCAAGTCAAGAAAAAAATTGAGAATAAATTATGATTCAACATAAAAGAGAATAATGGTGCATATGTTGTATTGAAAAATAAATATAATAAACCTTAAATTATTTATTTTGATAAATATTGAATAATAATGATGCTCAAAATGTTTATTAAAGATTCCGCTACAATATTCCCATTTTACAAATATTCCCATTTTACAAAAATATTCCGCCAACTTATTCCATTTCATGTATTCACGTGCAGCACTGATTAATAATTCCGGTCCCGATGTCGTTTTCTCTTTGTAAATTCTAAAAGGGAAAAATTATTTCTTTTAATTTTATTTCGGTATATTTTTTAAGGAAAATCTGTTAAGTAAAATATCATTTAGAATAATAAGTAGATATGGCCATCGTTTTTATTCGGCTTTTGAGAATCCTTAATAATTTCGGAATTTCCTTGAATTTTATTTTTCAAAATGGTTGCCTTCATTGTTACAAATTTTCTGTACTTTACAATAAAATTTGTTCGTTTTGATTTTTGTTTCAAACTAGCCTTAAATCTTTGTTTGCAGAGTAAAATGTTAATAAGAGAAAGTAATAATAGAAAATTTGTACAGTACATAACTTTAAAATCGGTCAAAAAACGCTCTAAAAACGGTCTAAAATCGGTCTAAAATCGGTCTAAAAACGATGGCTTTATGTAAATATAACAGTAGATAATGTAAATATATTTTTAAATGCACACTTGCTTATTTCTGCTTGGGGACACAGCTACAGTCAAGCTCAGCTTCCACATTTTCAAGCTCAGACAAAACCTCATTTATCATCTATAATAGAATCTACAGATTTAGGATTATTTTCATATAAAAAAACATGAGGAAAAATGCTTAAATTTGTTATAAATAGCTTGAGTTTTAAGGTTTTTCCTTGTTTTTGATTATTTGGGGTTTGAGGTTGTGGTATTTTTACGAATAACAATTTCAGATTAGTTTCACATCATTATAAATTAGTTTCATATAAATTGAGAGTTTCAAGTCAATGAGAATGAATTCCTTTTTCGAAAGGCTTGTTTTGTTGTAAAAAAGTGAATGGAGTTAATTTTAAACTTTTGATTTGAAAAAAATAAACTGAATGTTTAAAAATAATTTTTACCTCTGTATCAATATTTCCAAAATACTCCTCGATCAATTTGTCAAAGAAGTTTTTCATCTCCTCTTCTAATCAATTAATGTTATTTTTGATGTTTCATTAATTATAAAATCACTTTCAATCAATTTAGAACTGAACACTTCAGTTCTAATTTTCCCCATTTTATAGGCAAATTTTACCAATTACTTCTTTAAAATTAAGGCTAGGAAAACACACATGACAGTTTAAAATGAAAATGTCTAAGGCTTTAATAAAGTAAATTAAATTAGTGTCGAGTTAAAATCAAAGACCAGGGCGTTACGACGATTGATGCAAATTTTCATACCACAAAAATCAACACTGCAGCGCTCTATAGAAAGCTTAAGTAACCTATAAAATCCACGTTTATAAAGAAGATCATCATTCTGGCAGATAATTGCTGAAGAACAAATGACATCATGTCTTTCTTAAACCATTTTTTCATGAATGTAAAATTGTTTTAAATATAAGAAAAAATTTAAGTAAAAGAAATTGAGTTTTTTACCACAAACCCAAATTTTCTAATCCCTTTATCTTTGCAACATGATGATGTAAACATTTGATATTTTAAACCTAGAATATTTGATCCAACAATTAGTAGTTTAAAATATCAAAGGTCCACCACATCGGGGTTTTTTAAGATATATGTGGATTACAAATCAGACTCTATGGCAAAAACTCAGTTCCTCACCATTTTCTCCGAATTGTTCGAAGAGTTGTCCGATCTGATCTGTGTCTAACTGATCAAGAGCTTGTGATATGATATCCTCTATAGTTCCGCTCTCCATCAGCTTCTCCACAACCTTCTCTACAGCTCCAGTATCAATCATATTCTGGATAGTTTTCTCAACCATCCCACTCTCAACCATCTGTCCAACCATCTTCTCCAAAGCACCGCTCTGAAATAGATTATATACGTAATTTCCCCTGCACATGTATTGAGTGGTATGTCTGATCCACAGCGGTAAACCCTCTACTCCTTTATCTCAGAAGACATCATATTTTTCTATTAGAAAAAGTGTTGACAATTTTCTTCCTAGTCTCTCCTGCAAAAATGCGTAAGTTACTTTTATATAGAACCCACAATTAAAGAGGTGAAAGGGTATCACTGTGAATCGGACATGTAAGTTTTTAAATAGAGGATCACTTGAAATAACGTCCCCTACATTTTCAATCAATTAAGATCTTTATCATTTACTTTCGACTCAAAAACTTATTATTAAAATTAGAGATTACAATCTGGAATTTGAAACCCAATACTTTGCTAAGAAATGAGTCAGCACCCAACAGTAACAATTTTCAAAATAAATAATTGAGCAGAGTGTCCAGAAAAATTAGTTTCGACAACATTCCTTTATTTTCCAAATTGGCAGAATCAGGGAAAGTCAAAAGTAGAAGAGGAAATAAATGACGAAGTAGAGAAATTATGACAAGAATAAATAGTTCTGTGTGACCCAATTCATAAAAATAAATCATAAAATAATTAATTGTTAAGAAATATTAGAGATTACTTCTATAAAAGATTGGGCCATGTTAGTGATCATCTCTGGATTCTTCGTTACTTGATCCATCATGGCCTGAGTGATCATACCCTGGAGACCACCTCCACCTCCTCCCAGGAGACCTCCAAGTAGACCTGTTCCTGCAGTTTGAGTTCCTGTAGTTGCTGATATCCCAGTTCCTGTTGTTCCTCCAGTATTTGAGCCTCCACCAAACAAACCAGTGCCTCCAAAAAGTCCTCCAGTTTGAGTTCCAGTTCCTCCTGTATTTAAACCTCCACCCAGCAGACCAGTGCCTCCAAGGAGCCCTCCACTTTGAGTTCCAGTTCCTCCTGTATTTAAACCTCCGCCGAGCAGACCAGTGCCTCCAAGGAGCCCTCCAGTTTGAGTTCCTGTAGTGCCTCCGGTATTTAAACCTCCGCCGAATAGACCAGTGCCTCCAAGGAGCCCTCCAGGTTGAGTTCCTGTGGTTGCTCCAGTATTTAAACCTCCGCCAAACAGGCCTCCGCCTCCGAGCAAACCTCCGCCACCAAGAAGGCCTCCGTTTTGAGTTCCAGTTTGGGTGGCTGCAAAACGAAAAATTTCAAAAATCTTTAGCCCTGGAGTTTTTTAGAGTTAAAATACCTGGAAGTCCTCCAAAAAGTCCTCCAAATAGTGCCCTTTTAGACTCCTTAGTGTTCAATCCTTGAGAGAAGATTGAGATTATAAAGAAATTTTATTGAACTGTCGTTGAGTTCATTGCGGAACAGTTTGGGTTAAATTGGATTCTTTTGTTTATGTATTTTTATATATTTCAAGATTAATCATATCATTTTTGGAAAAAAGATGCAATAAAATGGATTTGACCATTTTCAAAGTTTTAGTTGGGTTAAAAATAGAATATATATATATTACCTGATGGTATGGTTCTGGAGAGATCAGGAGACAAAACACTACAAATTAAATTATTTGATCAAATTATCTAGAGTAAAGTGGGTTATTTGATTATATTATAAAATAACATTAAAAATAGAGATAACTTCTTACTTAATTATTATTATCAGGTTTATATCTTTAATTGTGATTTTTTTAACTCAGTGTAACATTTACAAAACATTATAATTATTTACAACTCATTTATAGGGAAGTTCAGGGAATTTTACTATACCAAGGGTTCCCAAGACCAGTTTTGTCTACAAAACATCCAGAGCGCAGCGAGGGAATCATAATGTAATGTTGGTCAAAAAGCGGTATAAAATAAAAATGTGCAAAATACAGCATTTTTGACATTATAGAGCTCAGAGATGCAATTCATGAGCTAAGTTTTTGGGGGTTTATTAGTTTTTTATGCTGAACTTTTAGAAGTTAGTAGATAAACAAGATTTGATATTTATTCACTATAATATATCCAATATTAATCTATAAATATGAGGACTTGTTTCTCAGATGTTCCAACATAGATACAGTTTCTATTGATAGACTCAAACCTTTCAATACTAGGAAGGTTGTGAAACCAGCTCAACCCATAGATAAAGATAGCATAAGACGACATTTTTCATCTTGAACGATATAAATGTACAGAGATGTTTTAAAGATATTCCTATTATATAGATTAACTAGGTCGGTTGTGAACATTGGCTGTTCTTATGTCACTGAGTACTTGTGGTGTACATGAGTTCTGTAGAGAGAAATTTAAGTTATTTTAGTTCTTCTCATGGCCTTCTTCAGTTCTCGTCAATATGATATATTGATATTCTCAAAATAAAATTCACTCCTGAGTGGTTTAATAATTATGAAATCCATTAAAACACCAAACCACCCCGCTTATCATTGAAGTACACTTTGACCCCTAGAAGTATGAGTTCGCGGACTGTACAATTCTTGGTGATTTTGCGCACATAAGCTATCTATGTTTATTTATTTATCTATGGCTCAACCACCTTTAAAAGGTAGACCTCCCAAGAAACCACTTGCTGTAATATCCTCTCTACATCTACACTCAACACTGACCACTTGTAATAAGGAGCATATCTTGTATTTCCTGGAGATCTAGACGGGACGAAGAGAACCTTAGGTCGGTTTACTCTAAACCTAGATCTAGAGCTAGTAGACCTAGCTCTATACCTAGATCCAATATTATCAGGAAAGATTGAAAATGTCCGGACGTCCTGGCCATATACTCTATGAGATACCAAAACCTGATCTTCATCCTGATCCTCCTTATCCGTTCTACAACCTCGGACAATATTCTTTTATGGTCAGCAAGGTTTTGGGAAGTACAAGAGTAAGAATAAGAAGATATTCTGGAGACAAGGAGACCCTACAGAACAACAGAGAACTAGAGGTTCTTGGTTTCTGACTCACCCTAATATCCTTCTGCTGATGGGAGTATCCTACACACAGCACTCTCAAAACCTTGTTTTTGAACACGTTCAGCTTGGTTCCCTTCACACCAGGATACACCTTCTAAAGAAGGTTCCAACTCTGATCGTTTGTGTGGATATTCTTCTTCAGATAACAGATGCGCTTATCTTCATACATTCTCGTGGATATATTCATTGCGCGCTCAGCAGCCATGCCGTGCAGTTTGTCAGCCCATTCCAGAGAAGGAAGTAGTTAAACAAGATTTGATATTTATTCACTATAATATATCCAATATTAATCTATAAATATGAGGACTTGTTTCTCAGATGCAGGTTGCAGTATAACTACTCATTTCTAGGTTTCTCGTTTTTCTCCCGTATTTTATATTATTATTTCTAGGATTAATAGTTTTGATTTACAGAGAAAACCCATCCACTACAAGCTATAATATAACCAAATAATGTTTACTCCACATAATTTTCTTACTCATAATCACAATCGTCATGATATTACATATAATTGTTCATCAAACTGTCTGTTTGCTAGGATTTCCCGTCACAAATTATGAACCCCATGACCGATTTGCCTCAAATTTTAATTGTGGAATGCAGCGGAATCATGAGTTCTGAGTCTGGTATAAAAATTCTAGGTTGAGGGAATCGACTCATATAGGGAAATTGGGCAGGAGTGTAAAAAAACTAGATAGACCAAAGATGTCGCGAAGTTGCTTCAGTAAATCTGGAAAAGGTTGGATTGGTTTACCTGTCTAGAACCTGACTTAATTTGTCAAAAAATTTGCTTGGATCCGACATCTGAGGAGCTTTCTTAATCTAAAATTGTTAAATAAACAAAAGCAAAAAGTTTTAGAATTATATAAAAATATTATAATATTGGCAATTTCTTTTGTGAATCTGTTAACATTAAATGTTAAATGTCCACATTGTGAATTTACTGTAAAGTAATATTTAAAAATTTCTTTGTAGGATGTTGATTTAAATGTCGTCTTAGATAGAATTTGAATGGATGAAAGAGTCCACGTTTAACTTTAAACTAGATGCTCTAGACTGTTAAGGAACTGAACTCGCATAGGACTCCATATAATGGTTAATGAGAGTTATGAAACTCTCACCAGGCATTTGTTAATGAAAGTTTTAAAACTCTCTTCATATATGGGTTAATGCATATATTGGTTAATGCGAGTTATGAAAATCTCTCTGCATATATTGGTTAATGAGAGTTATGAAAATCTCTCTGCATATATTGGTTAATGAGAGTTAGGGATCTCTCTCATATATTTGTTAATTGGGCATTTTAAATTCTTACCTTGCATTTACAATTCATCTCACTTGCGGGAACTTCTGCTTTAGGTAGATCTAGAATTTACACTGTATGCAAACATCTTTAAAGAGAGTGACCGGCTATGTACGGTAGTTGAACTGAGAATGTAGTATTGTGGGGAAAATGTTTAGGATTAATTTGTGACAATTAAAACGTTTTAATGGTTTATCATTAATGAGTTTGAGTTCAAAATCATCCATTTAGGCTGTTACATTTTGAGAATCGATTTTTTTAAATTTTTGAATAACAACGACAAAAAATGTAAAAAAAATTTCTACAATAAACTAATTAGATGTTTAGAAACATATTTCTCAATTGAAATTTTCTCAATAAATCAATGTTAGAATCAATTATTTCTTTTTCATCATTATATTGAATTTCTTATTCTTTATGAATTTGTTCGCAGATTTCTTCAAATCCTTCAAATGCCGTCTTTTCAATAAAAATTCCAGGAAATCTACAGAAAATGTTTGTGGACAATGAGACATTACAGAAACCAATAACTGAATAAGATTACTTATTTTCGATGATGATAGTTAATTCTTATCTTCTCAACCTGTTCCTAAACGACTAATTAGTTTACTGTAGAATTTTTGCTTAATTTTTTGTTGTCGTTATTGAATAATTCTTTAAAACCCGTTTCTAAAAATCAGCCCTCAAAAATGAACAATCTATGAGGATTTTAGATATTGAATTTGCGCTCTTGCTGAACGAATGAACCATAAAAACGTCTCATAGTTCTCAGATGATTAAAAAAATGTCTTCACAATTCTGCCTTCTCAGTTCAACTACCATTGTTGCAACATCAACCTTCCTCAACTTTAGAGAGTATATTCCGCATTACCTCCGTCCATGACAAAGGAAAACATCGCATAGTAAAACGTTCTAACTATAGTGAATACTTAAATCCTACAATCCGTGAATAATTCTGCAATTCATAGCAATTTTACTTAAACAACCAGGTGTATATTTTCCGAAGTAATATCTAAGTGTTTTAAACTGACCCAATCACCTCCTCCGATCTCAAATCACTCCTTTGATTACCCTAGATACACCCAACTATGTAAGTTACCCAATTAAACATAAACAATTTTATACTAATATATTAGTATTACTAAAACTGAATTTTGTAGGTTTGAAATGTATTGATATATTTGCAACTTGTGTTCGTTGTAAAGATGAGCCTTCGAACCTTCCGCCCGTGATTTGTGTCAACAACCATACATTGAATCGTTTATATTTTATATAAAGAACAAGTCGAAGCGAATATACCTTTGACTATAATTTTGTCCCAAATTTTTTTATTTCTGACCCCCCCCCTCTTTATATGTCTCTCTACCCTTAACATTTCCTAAATTTGATCTGCATGCTTCGTCTTTTTTAACAAATTTGCCACATTTTCGATTTATTTATTAAATTAAAATCAAGATGATTTTTCATAAGCCTATATTGTTTCGCCATTTTTAAGATAAAAAGAAAGTAGACCTAAGTTTTTATGTTATGAAGAAGACACCATTCACAATTTTTAAAGACATAACATTTATAAAACCGTTGACTATATATAGTCCTAATTCATTTTATATTTTTTTTTAGCTCCCAGTATATAATAAACAGTGAGAACCATATAACTGTTGAATTAGTAGACGACATTAAAGCACGACTTAAATGTAGTTGATGTTCTGATGTAAAAAGTTTTACAAGTAAGTTATAAAATTGCTTATTACGTGAAATGGAACTGTTTACACTATTGTTTCTAATGTTTATTGGACTATTTAAACCCATAACGTAATTCTAACAGTCGTCTTCTATTCCAAAGTTTTCAGGTTTTCACTGTATACTGTATCCAACCTGTAATGGTTGTTGAGATAATGGTATCTACTCCCTTCTTTACCCAGTGCTCTAATGTCACGTTCTTGTCCAAAATAGTGAAGCTCTCAATCGCCCTCCCCTTCTTCCTAATGTTAGGGGCACATAGGACAGAGTTTGAAGATTCATCAAGCTCCAGGTTACCCTGAACATACAGGGATATAGAGCTGGTTCATAAAACTCTAGGTTACCCTGAACATACAGGAATATAGAGCTGCTTCATGAAACTCTAGGTTACCCTGAACATACAGGGATATAGAGCTGGTTCATGAAACTCTAGGTTACCCTGAACATACAGGGATATAGAGCTGGTTCACGAAACTCTAGGTTACACTGAACATACAGGGATATAGAGCTGGTTCATGAAACTCTAGGTTAGCCTGAACATACAGGGATTTAGAATTGATTCATGAAACTCCAGGATATTTTTAACATATAAGTTCTGTAAATTTTTGAACCAACACGGAGACCAAAGAATACGATTCCCCTCATATGGTTGTTGACCGAACTTTTACGTTAAGTAGTTGAACCACCCATATCTAGTCCAAATAGTTCTCGTTTTTTGTCATTTTTTTGATATATCAGTTCATATCTACCTATAGTAGATCAGTTCAAATTTACCTGATAAACCAGTTAATTATTACCTGGCAAATCAATTCATATTTACCTGGTAAACCAGTTCATATTAAATGGTAAGCCAGTTCATATTTACCTGGTAAACCAGTTCATATTTACGTGGTAAACCAGTTTATTTTTACCTGGTAAACCAGTTTATATTTACCTGGTAAACCAGTTCATATTTACCTGGTAAACCAGTTCATATTTACCTGGTAAACCAGTTCATATTTACAAACAAACACTTTTCCCTCGATTTTAACATTCCTTGTTTCCTGCAGAGTTATCTAAAAAAAGCAAAAAATTACGAAGGACACCAGGGGCGTTTACAGAAATTTGTCCCGGGGGTGTGGGGCTTAACACATTTTTCTTTCCTGCAGGGGCGGGGGGGATTGGAGGCTAAGCACCTATTGGATTCTAAAAACTTCTAGAAATCACAAATTTCACTAATCCAGGGGGTTAGACCCCCAAAGGCCCCCTCTGAAGGACTCTACGGAGATACAGAGGAATAAAAATCCTATACCTAGAACTATACAAGAAAATATTAGAAAAAACGGACAATACCGGAAACGGATTACCTTGTTCATGATACTATTCTCTGTCTATGAAATGCACTGTCTATTAAGACGTTAGGTACTTTCCCAAAGGCTTTTTCCCAAGCTGCAACTTCCCAAGAGTATTTTCCCAAGGGAAAATTTCCCAACTGTGCAATTTCCCAAGCGGCAACTTCCCAAGTATATTTTAACCGCAGTGCTTGACTAGGGAGGGGGTACAGAGGCGCCATGATCCCCGCAAAAATGACCTCAGAGCCTCAGGATTTGCAGAATTACCTCCAGGCCCCGCAAAACTGGTCTCCCAGCCTCAGTGACGTCATCAAGCCTCCCGCCATTCTGGCTCCAATAAAAAAATATTTGGCTTTTATTTCCACCAAGAACCTTTTTTTTAAAAATTCTCAACATGATGAAATAGTTCAGAATGATACATTAACATTTTGAATTAAAAAGTTAATTTTAATTGAGATTAAAGGCTTGTATTTTGTTTTTCTAAATTTCACCAAAATGCGGGGCGTGGAGACAGAATGGCGGGAGGCTTGGTGACGTCACTGAGGCTGGGAGACCAGTTTTGCGGGGCCTGGAGGTAATTCTGCAAATCCTGAGGCTCGGAGGTCATTTTTGCGGGGATCATGGCGCTTCTGCACCCCCTCCCTCGCTTGACCCCCTTTTTCAATCCTGACAGCAGAAGGTCTATAACCTGACCTAGAAAAATTACACCATTGGGAAATTGACACTTGGAAAGTCGCCCTCGGGAAAATGCATTTGGGGAAATACCTAACACCTCTATAAAGTATCCATCTATATACATCTATTTATGAGATTACCCAAATCCATAGATTATTTAACAATAACAGACAGATTCACTAGATGTCGTCTTTTAAAGATTTATAGGTTTTTCGTCCACATTAACCCTGAGGCATATGCCTGTTTCGAGGTCCGCACAGGTAACGTTGAAATATAAGACAGAGAGAGAGCATGCGCTGCCTGCGCGGATCTCCTGTGGACTTCTGCCTCAGGGTTATTGTGTGTTTTTTTTTAATGCTATAATTCAATTAAAGATTTTGGTTAACGGGGGGGCTCAGCAAAAACAGCCCCAGGCTATTGAGTCCGCCTGCTGCGGAAAATAATATTTTACTTATTGTGATTTGTAAAAATTAAATTCGTAAATATTTTTTTTTTTTGCAGAAATAAATGATTTGATTTGATTTGATTTGATTAAGGTCCTATCTGTTATTATAAATTAATCTATGCCCAAATTCATCTTTATATAATGAACTTATTGAAAGGGTTACTCTTTATAAATTACAAGATCTAGGATTTATCCTGTACAAGGTTTAGTATTCTATGCAGCGAGAGATGAAGTAGCTGAATATATTTTATCAAGAATACCAAAAATGAAAAGTTTAGAATTTCACATCCGAGGATGGGGGGGGGGGGTATATCTGCAGAGATCAACATAAAGGGATTTTTATTAAGAAAATTTAGTGTGCTTTGCATCCTTTACTCAAAGGCCACATTTGTTTTCTTCTGATATTTCGCTTGATTAAAAATTAATTAAATAAACAATAATTTACCTAGAGTGACAACCAGAAAGCAGTAGAGAAGAAGACGACATTAAAGCAATACTAAAGCGCTTTTGATGTTGTTTCAAAGCAAATAGCTTTACTAGTAAGTTATTAAGTGAAATGGGCCTGTTTACATTGCACACTTCCTGTACCTCATGTTCATTGGACTTTTTAAAGCTAAAAATCGAGTTCCCTTTCCCGAGTTTTCTGAAATCACTTTAAATAAAATTATGGTTTCTATATTCCTTCTAAAAACAATAGAAAACGCATTTTCTTTGTTGCTGATAATAAATACGAACCCATTGCGCTGAGACTGCAGGGAGAAGGATTAGAAGAGGAATAAGTCCTGGCATTCTTCTAGCCCTGTTCATTAAATTCCTAGTCCTATATCCTCTAGTTCTTGTCTTCTAGGCTGCAGAGGAATAAATAATAATAAAATATTCCAATGTTAAACTGTTCTGCAATGGGAAAAAATCAAGTGGAAAAAATTAAAGCATATCTGCAAAACAAATTGATTTAGTTCCAACCCACCTGTAATATTCTGCATCTGGGGAGTAAGAATTTTCATTTTATAAGTTTAAAAATATTCTATCATGGTGACAACAAACTTTAAGAACTTAACTTACAAAATTAGAAAACTGCAATGTAACTTTTTTATCTTTCTTGTACTTTTTTAGATTAGTAAAGTGCAATTTAATACTTTTTACGTCGTTTATTAATGGAAAATTTGGAACTTAAGAAACAAATGACGACACTGTTTTAATAGTTTATAATTTAAGATCTAATACATTGAATTTTCATGCGAGGTTAATAAGCCTATTCAAAGCTTACGACCAAAAATATTATAAGGAATAGTTGATTCTCTATCTTCGTTTGAAGGCACAGAACGCTCGCTTGCCTTTAATTAACAATCTTTTGCTTCACCTGATGGGGTGAACCTTTGATATTCAAACTTTGACAATTTAATCATGCAGTCTTAGTTTACATCAAATAAACATAACTGCACTAGGTTTCAAAGATATGGGGCCTGGAAAATTAGAATTTGATTTGAGTACTCGATAAACCGTTTCTTTCTACTTTATACTTTTACAAATAACATGAATAAAACAGGAAAGAGCATGATTGATCAATATATTTTTTAGAATAAAAACATAAATAACTGAGGAAAGAGCATCATAAATTTATTTTTATAGAATAAATAAATTACATAAATAATGATCACAGCAGAATTATATAACAAGCTCACTACAGAGTAAAATGGGAAAATAGAAACATACTTTTTCATTTTCATTTAGATTCATATGGATGAAAAGAATATGGATGAAAAATATGGATAAAGAGATGGATAGATGGATAAAAAGATATGAATGATAGGATGGATAGGTGGATATAAGATGAGGATAAAGGAATGGATTGCTGGATATACAGATATAAAGATATGGATAGAGGAAGAATAGATGGATATATAGATATGGATAGAGGGAACGATAGATGGCTGTAAAGATATGAATAGAGGAAGGATATATGGATATAAAGATATGGATAGAGGAAGAATAGATGGATATATAGATTCGGATAGAGGGAACGATAGATGGCTGTAAAGATATGAATAGAGGAAGGATATATGGATATAAAGATATGGGTAGAGGAAGAATAAATGGATATATAGATATGGATAGAGGGAAGAATAGATTAATATAAAGATATGGATAGAGGAAGAACAGTTGGATGTATAGATATGGTAAAAAGATATATGAATAGAGGAGGATAGATGGATATAAAGATATGGATAGAGGGAAGGATAGATAGATATTAATATATGGATAGAAGGAAGGCTGGATGAAGATAAAGTTATGGATAGAGAAGGTATAGATGGATATATAGATATGGATAGAGGGAAGGATAGATGGATATAAAGATGTGGATAGAGGAAAAACAGATGGATATACAAATATGGATAGATGAAAAACAGATGGATAAAAAGATATGGATAGAGGGAAGGAACGATTAATATAAAGATATGGATAGGGGAAAGGAAAGATTAATATAAAGATATGGATAGAGGAAAGGAAAGATTAATATAAAGATATGGATAGAGGGAAGGAAAGATTAAAATAAAGATATGGATAGGGGGCAGGAAAGATTAATTTAAAGATATGGATAGAGGAAAGGAAAGATTAATATAAAGATATGAATAGAGGCAGGATATATGTAAGGATAGATGGATATAAAGAAATGGATAGATGGATAAATAGAGAGTGAGTTTAATATCTTCTTCCTCTAGCTTTGTTCCCCTGGTTTACAACAACAGTAACTCTCCTGAAACATTTCATTTTCATTTCATTCATTTTTATTTTCATATTCTTTCCCTTCTTTTCTATTCTATATCTAGCTCAGTTTATTTCATTTCATTTATTCTTATTTTCATATTCTTTCCCGTCTTTTCTATTCTATATCTAGCTCAGTTTATTTCATTTCATTTATTCTTATTTTCATATTCTTTCCCGTCTTTTCTATTCTATATCTAGCTCAGTTTATTTTATTCTTCTACCTCCAAGTACTATTTAATTTTCGTTTGATTTCAATTTGATTTAAATTTCTGAAGTTTTATCTAATTATTCTAAAATTAAATTTTTCATTGCACTTAAAATATTCCACATCTATTACCGACCCTTCATGTTGTACAACGGGACTCATAAAACTGTGAAGTAGTACGAGAATATTTACGCAAATACGTCTTTATCAACGAGGTAATAGTGTATAGGGTGATGATGATGTACGCTAATCCTTTACTAATTTTATAGGACATAAACTAACCTATAGTATATCAATATTAGTAAACAGTTGTACGAGTACTGTACAGCTAACTGAGCACACAGGTAGAAAACTATCGTACCCCCTGGTCTTTCTACAGTTACACTGTAATATTGCATTGTTTTTATGTCATGATTATTTAAAATATATTGTTTATTGATTATCAATGTATAAAAAATAGCTATTTACTTAGCAAAAACAGGCTTTTATAAATAGCACAGGGTTACTAATAAAAGATGATGATGTAAAGACGACCTGAAAATATAAACTATGACGATCCCGCGGTTAAATGAAGTCTTCTGCCATAAAATATTCTTTTTAATGGTTTAATTAATAATTTGGCAAAGAAAGAAACAGTGAATCATGAATATAAAAAGTCAGTTTAAATTCCGTACAGTCGTCTCTGAAGTCTCATCCTGCATGGGTATATAAAATACTGGCTAGAATACTCTGATTAATCGAATCGGACGTTAAATGAACTGGTTTAATTTTTTGCAACAATAATTTGCACTCCCCGACATTTTGCAAACACATACCGGTTACCAGGGGAGGGGGGGGGAATGTTTTATCTTGACCTTTTTATTTAATGTAAAATGAATATGTCTCGGCACGAAGTATTTAATGAATGAAATACTTAAATTCTAATAATTTTCAAATGTTTAAAAGTTTAAAAGTTGAAATTGAATAAATGTAAGATCCGGTAAATGGCATGGAAATGTCAAGCGTCAACTTCTATTTAAAGCGTAACTTGAGGTATTAAGCACGGTGACCGGTGTTTAAAGGGACTGTAAAGGACAAATGAAAGGGGGTATAGGCTGAAAGCTAATCACTTTAGCTAGATATAACTTCGAAGCTGTCCAAAAATATGTATATACTTCAATTGTACACCTTCTGAACCTTGAACAGACTAATGTTGGCATAAAACCTAACAATGCTCTCCTAGTATCCTAAACTCCCTGATCCTATCTTATTTATCGATTAATTAATCTTCTAAATGAGTTCATTAATTAAAAAGATTTAGTTTTATTTATGCATCTCTCCTCTATAGAGGATATGTGATATGAATACTAATATCAATGTTTGGATCTTTTGTATTGTTTATATTCTGTACTCTGCTGAAAGGGTCCCTCTAATTGTAGAAGTGCCATATCCGATTCACAACAGTACCTTAAAACCTTTTTCTGATCAAAGATAAATGAGATATCCCTAATTTTGACATTAAATTGATAATTTTCAACTAAAGTAGATAATTGTAAGAATTCCAAAATCTTATAGAATACGATAGCTTCATAATTGTTGATAAAATTAACGTGTTAAGGGTTGTTAATCTGACATGACAGTCTATAAATTGAGGGTCACTTGACAATATGTCTACATCTCAGTACAGTGCAGTGGTGTAGAACAAAAATGCGTAGAAGCAAAGATTTTGACATATTTTCCAACAAAAAAAAAAAAATAAGGATTTTCCCATCAATGAAAGTGGCTGATTTATCACATTTAAATTAAGATAAAAGTTAAATATTTTCTTGTCCTGTATACATATATATATATGCATGATAAGTATTTGGTATAGAAGTTCTACAAGCACTATAATCAGATGCAATGACAAGCAGAAAATAAGTTCATATGGTCATGGATCTAATCAGTGTACGCAGCACTGTACGATGTGAATTTGACCTTTCAGAGATTTGAATGCCAATAATGAAAACTTCCGTTAATTTACTTTAAACAATCGCTGCTTCCTGTAGCTTACTTTAAACAATTGCATCCTCTGTTAACTTACTTTAAACAGTTGTATCATCTGTTAACTAAGTTTAAACAATTGTATCATCTGTTAACTAAGTTTAAACAATTGTATCCTCTGTTAACTAGGTTTAAACAATTGTATCCTCTGTTAACTAAGTTTAAACAATTGTATCATCTGTTAACTAAGTTTAAACAATTGGATCCCCTGTTAACTAAGTTTAAACAATTGTATCCTCTGTTAACTAAGTTTAAACAATTGTATACTCTGTTAACTAAGTTTTATCAACTGTAGTGTATCTTATTTAAACAAATTCATCCTCTGTACCCTAAACTAGTGTTTAACTGTTGTTTAAGTTTGAAACATCTAATAGTAGATTTTATTTTAATCTTGCTTTTGCCTTTTATGTTTTAGTTCTACTTACATAAAAGAAACTTAGAATATTGCTTAAATTATAATTTAACCAAACAAACAGCGTTATAGAGTAATATCTCATAACAAACTTTTCTTGTCTCCATTATCCAATATAAACTTGCAGTCTTTAAACTCAGGAATTAGGTAAAAAAATTTAAATCGAGATTTATAGGTTTATGTCAACAAAACGAAAAATGTATATTCTATAGAAACTAAAAGGTAGATATTTTACCTTCCGTTAGGCATAACGAACTTGTTTTGAGCGTAGTCGAAGAATCCATGTCCGTTAGCTCCAGTGAACGTAGATTCGTCCGCTGCAATCTGAAAATATTTAAAGCTCTGTTATTAATTTCATGTCAAAATCATACAAAAAGTTTTTTAAATCTTAGAAATCATTTATACGAATAAAAATGCCAAGAGCCCCTGGAATTAATATTTGTTTGAAGCCAAAGGAACTGATTACCCGCCTCAAACTATTATATTCTAAACCTTATATTTTACAATCTAGAGTTCAAACTTTAGATTCTCCAAGATCAAATAGTCAAGGTTTAACATATTAATTGATTACACCATTTGAGATGGAATTTAAAGAATTTGAGCCGCGGTTTAAATCCGCCAAAAGCCGGTTTAAATTAAGCGCCTGCTTAAATCTTTAAACACTTTATACAATTTTAAGTGGAACCAACCATATTTAAACCGCCGCTCAAATTCTTTAAATTCGGCCACAGGTTACAAATATGTAAAGATCAGAAATTAAATGTTTGAATCGAGTGTTTTAAACTGAACTAAAGAAGCTACAAACACCTTTTGTAAAAAATAAAGTGTACTGCAGTTGGTGGGAGAAATATAAACAAACTTATCGCTATTTATAATGCAGAGATTATTTACATTCTTCAAAGTAACTTTCATAAAATTTCAGTAGAAAACAAATACAATTAGTTCCTTGTGAATTAATTAATCTTCTAAACTTTCCATCATTTTTTAATTTAACTGTAGGAGTAATTTTAAGCTTAAACTGTAGAGTTGTGTGTCCGATTATTAACAGTACCCTGATCAAGGATGACGTACTTATCCTTATTATGCTACAGGAACACTTGTAATTGTTAAACACATTGTTGGTAAGACACAGAGTTCTCTGCCATCGATGATTATTTAAAGGTTAAAGGGTACCGTTGTAAATCGGAAATTCCCCTCTTAAAATGAAGGGTTATATAAAATTTTGCTTACAGTTCCTTTAATATGGTAAACCGGTTTCGGTATCACCTGTCTTGTTAGAGGATCGCATCTGACTCCGCTAGAATAAGAATACTCTCGAACCTCTCCGGTTGGATCAATGTAACCATATTTTCCTTTGGTTATACAATCTATTCCAATGGACTCCTCCTGAAGCATAATTCATCAATTGAAACTTGGGATGTTTATTTGGTAGTACAGAAGGTGAAAGGGAGGGGGTAGGGGCTAACCTATAGAATTAATCCCTCATTTATGCCTTCAAATATTACTGAATTAGTATTTGGATCGTATACATCCTTAACCTTTAGAATATTCATCTTGAATTTATGATCGGTACTTATGCTTCTTCTAGATTTTAAATCTTCGAAAACTACGGGATTGAAATCCGTTATCGGGAAGTTCTCTGAAGCCTAAACCTCACCTTGTAAGATCCATCGTCGTTTTCATATCCCCAGGTGATAGAACCGTCCTCGTTCTCGAACTTGTATCTTTCAACTGTTCCGATCGAGTGTTGTTTTGTTCTCTTAGTTCCAGGACGACCTAGAGCTACTTCTCCGTCCAGTATCCTGGATTCAGGATCAGGACGAGAAATATCAATGTCGGGATCAGGACGAGACTCAGGGCGAGGTTTCCGACCCACTCGTCTTTCATCAAACCTAGGTGGGTTAAGGGTTCTAGCACCCTTGCTCCGGTGAGAAACGTCATTTGTAAGCTCTTTAGTTATCCCAACTGCTTGGGCACCTAGAGTTTACAAATATAATTAATGGTAGTAATGGAATAATATAAGATATTTTTTTAAATATGTAATTTGAAATTTATTATTTACCTGTGATGGCAATAGTTCTAGCTTTGACCTCCTCCAGGATAGAGTTCCTGTCCACTATACTATTAGAGGCTGGTGGAGGAAGGAACACCTTAGAACCAACTTCAACCACTTGGAAAACAGGTTCAGGAGTGCCAAAGAAATCCTCGAGTTGGAACTTAGGAAGCTCTGTTGCAGGTTGGAAGGGGAGGGTGGATTGAGGTTCCTCCTCCTGAATTATGGTAGGACGGGGTCTTCTCTTGAACCCTCCAGCTACAGGTCCTTTCCTACTACTAGGGTCCGACTCTGTAACAGGAGCAGGTTCAAAACTATCAACTGTTTCCTCCTGAACCTTTTTACGAGGTTTAAACCTAGGACGGTTTTCACCAGAGAATACGTTCTGAGGTTTACGTTTAGGTCTGAAATTATGAGGAGCAAGGGGAAGGATTGGAACAGCTCCGGAAGCCGCTGCAGTAGCAAGGAGTTGAGCTAGAGGAGAGGAAGGAGAAGGCTCAGAATCATCTTGAGATAGAACACCGCACAGACAAACCTTAACAATAGAGTTTTAACAAATAGGAAAAAGTGTATATATATTATATAATATATATCAAATGCGGAACGTAGAGAAGGGAGAAAACTTTAAACGAAGGAAATTGAGTTGCAAAACAGAGGTTAAAGATTTAGGAAATGAATGAAGGAGAGGGGGGAGGTAGGAGAGGGGAGGATGGAGGGAGAACGGGAGGGGGAAGCTTGGTTTAAATGCCATATTAACAAATGTTGAGTAAAGATGATAGGTCTACAGGGCACAGGCCTGTATTTTAATATTCAGATTTTACAAGATATTTAGCAATAACCTAACCCCCTGTCTTACTCACTTTTCTCTCCTCCTTCTCCCCCCCCCCCTTCCTTTCGGCTTCTGTGCCAATATGCATTTCATGCAAGACGCACTGCGCAGTGAGGTCTGTAATGGCAACCCTAAACTTGAAATTTTGCAGTAAATTTAGCATTGCAATTACAGAGTTCAAACTTCCTTACTTTAGAAATATTTTCTAAAGACTAGAGCCAAGATTTTACTTTTCTCTCAACAATAAAATTAAGTTTTAATTAAGAACTTCAAGAAGTTTTCAGTGAATTTCAGTATTGTAGAATTTTATGATGATTTATTTTTGTCTCTTCTTTTCCTTGCATCAAGAAACTGAACACTTACCTTAATGTCTATTTTTTAAAATCCTCATATCTTTTCAACCTGATGACGTAAACCGTTGATAGTTCAAATTTTCTAATAATCAAAAGATCAAATACTAAAAATTGGAAAATTAAAGCTTTGCACCATCAGGTTGCAAAGATGGAGAAAGAAATTGAGTCTTTGTCACAAACTCTGGTTTTCTAATCCCTAATGCCTTTGATATTTTGATATGCATGTTGAATCAAATTATCTAAATTAGAAATATCCAAGGTTTAAACCACCAGGTTGCCAAGATATAGGGATTCGAAAATTAGAGTTTGTTGCAAAAACTCAATTCCTTAGAAAATTATAGTTTGAGACAAATGTTCAGTTTTTCTATTTTCCGATGTTTCAGAAATTAAAATAAGTTTATAGTTTTATCAGATATGTATAAATATATTACAGATGTATAACTTTATCATGACTCTTGTTATTCTGAATCATGATTACAGAAAAATTTTATTTTTAAATTTTAGATTTAAAAGAAGTTTTGCGAAAAATGAAAGAAGGTTTATGCTGAATTCGAATCAAAAGTAAAGTATAAGTAAAATTAGCCGAGGCCCGAGATTGAACCAAAATTTAATTCTAATTCATTTTTCACTAATTCTCTTTAAAGTGAATATTTAATTTTTCCATCTGAGAGACCCCAACTGTAAAGTTGTCTATGAATAATGCTCGATTTTTTGTCAAAACTAAATAATAAATAGATGTAACAAAACAAATTATCAAATGTTAAATTTAATACAAAAATGTGACAAAAAACATCTTACCGTTAAATCTATATAATAAAGCTCTGATCGCTCATATATATATATTTGTATGTATATATGTTAGCTATAACTGGCCAAACGGCTGTGCCGAATTGGCTGAATTTTTTTAAGGGAACCCATAGGTAATCAAATTTTTCTTTCAAGAATATTTTTTTTTAATTCGAACTTTTTAAATTCCACGGGCAACGCCGGGCACCTCAGCTAGTAGTTAAAAATACATTTGAAAAATCCTTGAATTTCTTAAACCCTTGAGTACTGCTAGGTTCAAGATTGAGAGAGCAGGATAATCAAATATAAAAAGAATAATTTTATGTCATTCTTCGGAAGAGTCCTGCAGGGGATAGCAATTCTACACATTTTTGAATAGAATTAAATTAAGTTGATATTCTTAATTTTTCATTCTTCATATCCTTAACTAATTTTTTCATTATTTATTCGTCATTTTTCTTTATTTATTTTTCATTCTTCTTTTATTTTTCTTCTCCATTCTCAATACTGCTCATTTCTTTTTATCTTCATTCTTCTCCTTTCTCCGTTCTTATCCGTTCCTTCCTCAATCGTACCCATTTCTTCGTTCTTCATTCTTTTCCTTTCTTCGTTCTTATCCGTCCCATCCTCAATCTAACTCATTTCTTAAAATCTTCATTCTTCATTCTTCTCCTTTCTCCGTTTTCATCCGTCACATTCTCAATCCTACTCATTTCTTAAAATCTTCATTTCTTCTTCTTTCTCCGTTCTTATCCGTCCCATTCTATTTATTTCCTAAAATCTTTATTTTTATTCTTCTTCTATCTCCGTTCTTTTCCGTCCCATCCTCAATCTTACTCATTTCTTATAATCTTCATTCTTCATTCTTCTCATCTTTTCGCCCTTATCTGTCCCATTCTAAATCCTACTCATCTATATATAAAGTTGTAATCTCTTTTTGTTTGTCCGATCATATACTCAGGAACTCCTGGACCGATTTGCCTCAAAATTTGATTGGAAAACCACGAGAATGTTCTTAGCAAGGTTTAAAAGATCTGAGTTGAATAGATTGACTCTTTCAAAAAAACCTTCTTCATAATTCTCCTTTCTCTGTTCTTATCCGTTACATCCTTCTCCTCAAATCCTTTATATAGGTGAGAATATATAAAATGTTGATGGAGAAGATGTGCGGAAGTGCATTGTTTATAAATATGCATCAAGTCAAGGATTTCCTTGGGTCAGATACTCTGGGTATAGAGAAGGATACAGCGTGCAGGAGAGGAGTATAAAGAGTCCATAAACAACTTCCTTGCCATCAAACCAGGAACATTTACGACCTTACTCTTCTTCAACATTTAAATTGGGGAAACATTGCACAAAAATCCTGAACAGGAAGGGAACAGAAGATTGCGGGAAATGAAGAAAAATAAGAGAGAGATACAGGCTTACCCGCAAAGGATGAGGCTTCAGATACGATTGTACGGATTTTGTTTAGTGCATTCAGGGTTAAAAATGGCTTATTTCAGCTCTTAATAATTTTCTTAATTATCAAAATACTTTATTGAATGCAGAAACCAAAAATCAAGCTTCAATTCTTCATTTTTGTTTAGTTTTGGGTCGTCTTTACAGTCTCATCATTTGTGGGTAATCCTGTATCAAAGGGTCCAAAGTTTCTAGCTCACGCAAAAATCGATGAGAATTTTTCAAAAAACTTTTTAAAAAAACTCCAGCTAAAACAAGTGCTTTATAGTCCTAAAAGATGGTATATCTTGGTATATCAAAAGCCAAGAAGTTGCTTCATTTTAAAGCCAATCTTGAAAATTCACTTTTTAAAGCAGTCTGGATCAAAGAAAAAGGAGAGAGAGAGAACTGAAAAAGGATTTAAAGTTTCACATTCACGGTATATTTACTCCAACCAGGTGTAGTGCAGTTGTATTGGGAGTTTAAATCGTTTCTTTGAGATATGAAATAAAAATGTTTTTGTTGGATCATGATCATAATAAAAAAGATTAAAGAATATTGGAACTTAATTTAGGATCCTTAGGTTAAGGTTTGGTTTAAAACCATATTTTCGTTTTATTCTGTGCTTTAATAAAAATAAACAAGTTCTAGGACAAATTAAAATATAGAATCGTCCTACTTCTCAATAAAATAGATTGATCTTTAAACGTATTGAAGCTAAACTATAATCTCACGGTTGTATTCTCAACCCTTTGCTCTGAACCTACGATATTGCTCTAACCTTGGACCTGGTGATAAAATTCAGATGCAAACCCTTCTCCTCATCTCCCCATCCAGTAATCTTTTAATCTTAATATACGGACGGAGCATGTAGGTTAGTTAATTTTGTTTCTACGTTTCTTCATAGAACAACCAAACATGAGATGCATAAATAATAATTTTACTTATTTATGCATTTTAAACCATGCACTGTCAGCATTTGTATTTGAATATTTCATTTTTATATTCAACATTTGTAGTTGTAAAAAGTTTTACTTTTGTGTAGATCTCTTCCTAATCTAGTGTATCCAGTATCAAGTATGAAAAACACCTTGCAATTCTTCCTTAACCCAATACCCTCTCCTAATCCAACACTCTCCCAATCCAACCCTCTCCCAATCCAACCCTCTCCCAATCCAACCCTCTCCCAATCCAACCCTCTCCCAATCTAATTTCCTGCAATGCAAGGATGTCTTTAGATGTCTTTAGACATGTCAACAGTTTTCTATGAAATTGCGCCAATCTTTCTCGCTGGATCTTGAAATCCATTGTGTCAACTTAAAAAAAAATTAAGTTTTTGTCACAAAATGTTTTCTAATCCAGAAATCTTTGCAATCTGTTGTCGTAGACCTTAGTATTCTGTTGGATCAAAAAAAAGTAAGTTTGAAATATCAAAAGCTTACATCATCAGGTTACAAAGATATATTAATTAAAAAATTTGAGATTGTGGCAAAGACTTAATTCCTTTCATGAATAATTACTTGATCCTTCAATTTCAATCCTTATCCCTGCAGGGAAGCACAAACCTGGGATATTTAATCCGAAGGACTGCACATTGCACAAGATACGAAGAACTGCTTGATCCAAAGATTCCCAAAATAAGAGTAGTCACCTCTGTACACACATGTCTATGTGTAATCCTAACCGGTAGATCTTTAATCAGCCCTCTCTTTTTATGATCGTGTTCAAGGGTATGCCTGTAAATCTGTATTCTCTATTTTAAGGAAGTTCATTTCAAAGTGTTGATAATGGTTTACTGAACTTTGAGAAAAGTTTGAACCAAACTTGGTTTGATAGGGTAGATAGAGGGGGAAGGGAGTGGGGGGGAGAGGGTAGGTAGAGGGGGGAAAGGGAGGGGAGGGGGAGATATGTAGAGGGGGAAAGGCAGGGGGGAGAGGGGAGGCTAAACTTAAAAGTTCCTAGAACATATCCTTCCTTTCACCCTATCACACTTATCTTTTATCTCTTCTCTCTTTATTTTCCTATTTCCTTACTTCCATTTTCTAACCCTCTTTTTCAAGTATTTTGTTGCTTCAACCTCCCCCCCCCCATACTCCCTTCTCCCCTCCCTGATCCCTCTTGACAAAT